TGATGGGGTTAATTTAGGGAACAGATAGGCTGCTCGTGTTGAGGTGCCCAGGCTCTGCTCTCAGCCCCCTATCCATCACCTTATCACCATCACTTGCCTGAGAGGCTCCCAGGCCTACCAGCCCCAGGCCTGACTTTCCCTACCTTCAACCCATTCCCTTCTAGGAAATTACCCGCTGGACCTCTTCACTTAGATGCCCTTAAGCCCTCCACACTCCACGTCCTGTATGTGAATGCACAGGTAGCTGGCACACCTGCTCCTGGTTGAGGGCCCCAGGTTGCACAATCAGCACAGGACCATCTGCGAAGTTGCCCGAGCTGAAAGCTGGAAGCAGCCCGGGTCCTCTCCGCCACTTCTCAGTCCATCCAATCAATCCCTAAGATCAACCAACTCTCCCTCCAAATAAGTAAACCCTAACCACTTAAAAACTTACATTGGCAAGGCCTTCTGGTTTCTCATTACACCAGGCTTTGAACATGTTTTTGCCTTCTTCTAGATTCTAGAACATTCCCACCAGCACTTAAGCCTCAGTTCCTCAAGGAAACTCCTGTCCGCCCCCACACCAGAATACACTGGGCTTATTTTGGGTTATTCACCAACTATCTGCCCCTACCCCCAAAACCAAACGGTGAAATACACGCTGGTGTCAATCCCAGGACACAGCTAAGTGCCTTGCATGGGGCAGGCATTCTCGTATTCCGTAGTCCTTCTGTCAGTGGCCCCAAGATCCCCCGCAATGTTCTTTCTCTTCAGAGTAGGACTTTTCCACGTTTAAATTGTGTCCAGGATTAACCATTTCTTCTGCAGGAAGTAGGGTAGGTATTTCAAGTTCATGGTCTTAACCCGACGAGTAAAGGAGAGCGCAGCCTCGCTCCTTGTACCCAGTCGCCGCTGGCCCCCAGAGCGAAGGAAGCAGAGCTCGCGTCAGCAGGTCTGGGCTGCGGAGGTCGGCCGGTTGGCAAGTATCCACACAGGAAGGCCTCCGACTTGAATCTTCTTGGCCACCGCACAATGGGCGGGAGGCGCCTTCAGAAAAGCCTGTCTCTGCGAAGGCCGGCCGGCCGAAGGGGGACGACCTAGGGGCGAGCGGCCGTGGGAAGCAGACGAGTGCCGTGTAAGCAGCCTGCAAACAGCGAGACTCTGAGACCAGACGGAGGATGAGACTGGGCCGGGCCCACGCGACCCCAGGGGCGCGCGGCCCGTGCGGGACTCCTGCGGCCGGGCCCGCGCACCGGCTGTGCCCAGTGCAGCTCGGGCGGACGGGGCAGGCCGAAGCCGGAGAGCTGCCCGGAGGCAAGGAGGCCAGCCCGGTTTGACGCACGAGTAGAAGGCTGTTACCTGAATTTCAGGTGTGTGCTGGGGGGTGGTGGGTAATGACGGCACCTCCCAAAAGAATTTTATCTACCTCAGGTGAACACTTAGATCCTTTATTAGATCATTTTCATCTTTTTCCAAAGCCACGGCCCATGTAATGCACATGTCCCCATGAGGGAACGTCAGTCCTGTATATTCTAACGCAGATGAACGGGCCAAAAAAAGCCCTAAGAAATGTTTGTCCTGTTCGCTCCAAGGAAGGGAGGATCCCCTGGGAATGGAAAAGAGATCACACCGAGGGCCCCTGAGCTGGTGGAGGTACACACTCCCCTAACATGGCAGCAAAGTAAATTAAAAAGCAAAACACAGCAGCTGCTAGCTCCTTAGTGCTTTCGAAGTGTGGATTATAACCAAGTACGTTCTGAAAGCTTCCCCAATATTACCAGACCACTGGACTCAGGACGGCCAGTTCTAACCACAGCGCCGTTCCATGGTTACTCCTCCAGACAGCCTCCCTCGAGTTGCAGAGAAAAATTCTACTTAAGTCATCCTTTATGAAACATTTAAATATCATACGTTGTATCAAAGCGAACTACAAAACAGACCTCAAAATTCTAAAATAGATGGAAGTAGCAATTTTAAGGAGTAAAGTTCGCATCCTGTTACAGACTGAAAACTGAAAAATAATCCCGTTTAATCATTCACAGAAAACACTGTACTCACCCTGTTTCCCACGGTGTCCGCTGGATTCATACAGAAAAAGCAGATTCATTCGTGCTGCAGACTCAGGCTCTACATTTAGTCACGGACTGTATTGAGAGTGCTCCCCATACTGTGCTAAGATCTGTTGGTCAGCTCACGGATGCCTGCCTCGAGTCCCATCTAGTGGATACTGCAGTTATTCCCAGTAAAGGGACTGGCCCAGGATTAGACCCCAATTCTAGAGCGGAAAACCACAGTCGCTGCATCACGGGGCCTTGCCAGACGTTTGCTTGCTCAGACCAGTGCCCTGAGAAGCCCTCCACTGTTTGAGAGGCTGAGACACTGAGGACCAGGTCCCAGGCCCGCTATTGGGAAGCTCGGCTCCTGTCGTTCTCAGGGGACCTCTGAGAGCTACCAAGAAGATGCCACATCAACCCACTTCAAAAAGGGAAGATGACAAAAGACACAAATTGTACAAGTTTTATATACTTACAGCTGGTAATTTCTGCCTCTCTTGGGGGGCTTGTTTGTAACATTTTATAGTGAATGCAGTGTAAGTTGTGAGTTTTAATTGTTCATTTATGTATTTTACCTTGTTCAATTATATATTAACATCTGTGTATAAAAACTTCAAATAAATAAACTATACAAAGCTTCCGTTCAGACTCAAGACGAGCCACACACATCTTCCTGCCCTGAATCGCGCAGAATCCCCTGCAGAGCTGCCTTAAAAACGTGATGTCCAGGCCCCACCCCCATTTTCTCCATCCTCCGCCAGCAACTTTCCCATTATTTTACCTCCCCATTTAACAAATGCATTTTATTAGCCAAGATGATTCCTGCTCTGGCACCCCACTCCTCCGAACCCAGGTGAGCCTGGACACGCGATGCCCGGTGAAAGCAAAGGAACCTGCGGAAGGTTCGCCTGTGCCTCGGCGCCGCCCTGAAGCAGTGTTCCCAGGTTCTACCGTGGAAGGCAGGCAACTCACGACAGGCCAAAGCTGAAATTCACACACCCTACTAAATTTTTAATCGAAGGACATACTCTCACGGTGGGCAACCATGAGAGACCGCATACAGAAACCCGCGGCATCCAGGTACAGGTTGCCGCGATCTAAAAATAGAGCATTTTCTGAAACCTTCCGTAAGCCCCAGTGGCCCAAGACTTAACATCAGCACTTGTTCTCACTGACTGCAAGAGATCGCAAGAGGATTTTCACTCTTAAAAGAAGCTGATACCGTACTAATGTCAGTCTGTCTTACGAAAGCAAAGGCAAACATTTGGAAAGCACGGGATACTCACACCTGGTTATCATGCGTGTGCTTAAATCTGAATGTTTTCGTTGGGGAAATAGCTTTTCGTCCTTTGAACAAGATTAGGGTAAGAAATTGGGAAAAAATTAATGACACATACCCCGTGCTCTCCAAAAGTTACGAAGAACACCCCGGTTCTTTGTCCTTCCTCAGCTCAAGCAACTCGAACCTGGGACCGTGGGTGTCCATAACGCCAGACACACACACACACACACACACACACACACACCACCCACCCCCCCTCCCCCCCTCCCCCGATGGTCCACTTACCTCACTGAGTCTGGCACAAAAATACCTAGTGCTTTGAACACTATTTAAATACGTAAGAACGATCAGTACAGGGTGAAGGCCAGACGACCCGAGGACGACTCTGGTGGGCACACTGACAGGGAGCTGCTATCAGTAGAGGGACAACGAAGAATAAAATAAGCTATTTTCTTAGGCTTTCTTTTCTTGTTCTTGCTCCTAAAAATGACTCCGTGTGTATTCTCACCCCAGAAAATTAAGTCTAGGGAAGGAGATCCAAGATTAAGAAAATGAGAACATCTGCTCTACTCTGACACCTAGGCTTCTCAGTGCTGGGCTACCAGCTATCCCAGGGAGGGTTCTACGAAATCTAAACACGGTCTCAATATACCAAAGTCACTGTTACCCCCAGCCTTAATCTTAAAATCTCAAATGGTCTTCATATACGGCACGAAAGCCAGACTATTAGTTATAGTCGCCACGACAAGAATGAATATAAAAATGAGTACTGAGCTTGTATTCTGAGACTGAACAAAGCAAAGGCCAAAAGGAAATTGGGGGACCTGGAAGAAACCGGGCATTTGCTATCTCGTCTTTGTAGTTTATGTACTTCCCTATTGTAGGACTTATTTTAACAGTAAGTTAACAACACAGGAGCTGGAAAGGAGGGTACGGCGACAAACTCAGTAGGCATCCTGTGGTCCTTCTAGAATGACCGCAGCCATAATGATTTTTTTGCAGAGAGTTCTAACACTTATCAAAATAAGCCTAGGGTTTTTTGAAATCTGATACCATACAAAAAGTGCCACTTACCTAAGTAAGTAAGCTCATAGCCTAAGAAAAAACCAAAGTTTTTCTTTCTTACATGTTAAGTCTAACTCTGTAAGTAAGGTTTTTCTGGCCTTCTTGACAGGCACCTTAATACACACTTACCGATTAGTTTATAAAAAGAGAAGACTTTAGATCAGACATGTGTGCACTGTGGCAAGAGTTTCTGACTCTGTACAACAAAGTCCCTGACTCGCCCCCATACGCGGATCTGGGCAAGGAGGAACAAGACGTGTATTTCCTCTTGCTTTCCAGCAGGTCAAAGCCACAAAGAGAAAACCACTGAACCCTCACAGCCATTCTGAATACTACAAACTATTAGCACTTTGAATCAGAGAGAAACTGAATATAGTTAATCACCCACAGAGAGAATCCATCTTAAAATCAAAACGATCAAAATCAAGCCCTCCAATCTTGACCTCCCGAGATCTGGGACGCCTACCTAGGTCAACGTAATTACTGTTTTCCTCTTCACACCTCTGACCGAATTTACACTCAATATACCTACCAGACCATTACCTGAACCAGGTTAATTGCATAGGAAGATTTTTACTATGTTTACATTTTTCTTAATTTTAAAAAAGCATAGTAAAGAGTCTGAGGACAAATTATTCAACTGTTTATCATACATAAGACCGCATGACTATGATACAAAGGGGGGTTCTTTTCATTTAACGTTACAATATACACAGCAAGTCCGGACCAGATCTTACAATCTGCACACAGGTATTTAACCTTTTCCATGCTGTTTATGTTTTACAATGCACAGAAGTCCTGTAACCAAACCGTGTAGTAAAGCACACAAAACTGGACTGTAACATAACACAGTATGCAGAAGCATTGGATTTTATGATTTCCTTTATGTAAGTAGCGGTTTAAAAACTGCTTTTGTTTTTTTTGGTGCTTGCTAAGATGTGGCAACCAGCACAGAAAAAAATGACCTGACCCAAAGAGTGTCTTCCCCTTATATTCCTAAACAGCAGTAACTACTGATTCCTTTTGATATTGCTATACTCAAGATGGTATCCTTTTATTCACTGTAAACCTTTATGAACTACCAAGTTCAAAAATCATCCACAGGCTTGACATTTAATTACAAAATATGGATTTCCTGATTAACAACAAAAAAAAAATTTGTGGATTATAAAAACGGGTATTTCCAAGTTTCCATTCACATTCACATAGTTTTAAGCCTTTCTTTTGTCACTGTTTACATATAAAAACCTGCTTTTGTTCAGAAAAAATTGACCTAGTCAGCCACATGGAACTGACCAATAAAAAGTAATGTGGTTCTGCTGAGTCGTTTTGAACAGGGTTATCGGCAGAGGTAGATTACTGCTTCTTTCCTAGGCTTCTTTTGATCCTGGACAGATAAATTACTTATCTTCCTTCTCCCAATTCAACCGCTCAAAAGTGTAACACCCTAAAATTGGTCAATTTAAAATGGGAACACAAATTTAGCAACTGCCAGACTGTGTTACATTAAGGCAGCGTAATCTCAAAACGAGGCACCTGTTAAACACCAGCCTGTTCCTTCAGGTCACGCATGGGAGTTCTGCTTTACGTGCCCGTACTCTGACCTGTTGGTGTAATCGAGGTCTTGCTTTCAAGTTTACAAGTAGGTTAATCAGGAATAAAGAATCAGCTGCTGGTTCCATAGCTTCTGGATCCAGTGTCCCTTTGCCTTCAGAAGCCTGAACACATTTAGAATGTAACAGATGTTGTAATCTTGAATTAGATGTCAATCTATTATGCTCAGTACACAGATTGCTGTAGATGTATTGGCTATGGATTCAACGACAGTTCCAGTTTTGTTTAAGCAATAGTACAGCCATAATTTTCAACTGACATTTAAAAATGGTCTAGTTACACCTTGTGTCAAAGTGCAGAACTGCTACATTATTGGTTACAGACATCTATGTGCTATAAAAACAGCTTTGGTACAATAAATTATCAAAAAAGAAAATAAATTTTTGTAAAATTCACAGCATAATTGTGAGGCAAAAAAGCAGTCACATAAAATTCTGCATTTTTTTTTAAAATGTTCAGGATGAACAGAAGACATCTTTGTGCAGAAGAAATGGTGGAGATACCACGTGCCGAGGAAAAAAGCAAAAAAAAAAAGGAAAAAAAAAAGAAAGAAAGGAAAAGGAAAAAAAAAAAAGTAAAAAGCAGGAAGGGACACAGCTGTAGCTATTTCCATCAAAGCAAACCACTACTTCTGTGACCTTCAACCAATAAGGAAGTCAACTATATGACACACGCAAAGTGACCTTGCAATACCTTACAATTAGTGGGTCACAAAAGTCTATTTTAAAAGAAAGGCCTCTTGAATTACCCATTCTCTGTGTTTTCAGCATTAAGGACTGTCTGCAAAAGCATGTCCAAAAGTGATTGCATCTGAAATGGTAGGCTCTTCTAATTTCGAGTCCAAATCCATAAGGCCAAAGGTTATCCCAAAGACCACCACTCAGACCTCCCCAGGACTGGCCACAACTGACCCGTTGATTGCTTCTCAGTGCACCTTGGTTAGGAGACCGGTCATGTTCCATTACTATCTTACTGTGGCCTCTACAACAGGAGACCCACAGGATCCCATGTAATTGCTGCTTTGCTCCTCAGTAGGTTCAGACAGGAGAGTTCTGATCCCCGCCACTTAGCATGCTTACTGTGCCTTACAAACTCCAATACAACCGTCCCTTCCACACAGCTGAAGGTGATGTCTGTGTAGGCCGGAGGTCCCTCTTCCTTACAGTACTGCATTTCTGTGCCCAAGTGTGTTTAGAGGACTTAAAAACCCAAATTTCCCACCCCCCCGCCCCACCCAAAACAAAACAAATGAGGGGGAAAAAAAACAAGGAAAAAACAAAAAGGAAAAAGAAACACCCTCAAGGGGCCCTTTATGTAAATTATGTGCAGTGCCTTTTTATTTTAAAATTAGTTGGCAAATGACCAAGACCAACATCTGAACATTAACTTTTGTGGAACAGAAAGACAAAAAAACCCACTATGACTGGGGTGTGGCAAGTTAAAATGGGAGAGGCAAAAAGAGGACACCTCTGAGCTATCCGTAACGATGGGTTTGGACATGGCTCTTTTAAAAACTTCATTGTCCCTTTGCAATCTTTTCAAGTTAAAAAAAAAAAAATAAAGTCAGCTTTGCCCTCTTGTAGCGGTTCAGTGTGTTAATCTCCTTCTGATGCAAGCAGCTTTGCACTTTGTTTTTTGGAAAAAAACACCACTTCTATAAAAACACACAAGAAACAAACTCAAGTTTCAATTTAGTCACGAGCTAGCTACAGAACTCTGTTGCACACAAACTCCTGTCATGGGGGACTCTTCTCTATCAGCCCCTTGCCTCATTGTCAGATGTCCTTCAGTCATGTAATGTGTAGGACCTGTATTAGCAGAAAATTGGTATGTTGGATGTCCAGCTATGCCAGTCTCTTGGCGGGGATTGGAGTAGACGGTTAAATTAACGTCCATAGCTCCATTCTGTCCAAAGTCCAAGGTATTAGCAGCCACTGGGCGATTCTGGTAGGCCTGATTGCCTTGATTACCAGTAGAGGAGGAAGATGTAGAGGAAGAAGTAGTTGAGGAAGACAGGGATGTCATGGAGTGGTGACTATGGCCAACCTCCATAGAATCCTGGGTAGAGGAGCTATTCGTTGGAGAATTGTAGACCCTTGGCCTGGTCCGGTTACCCAAGGCTTGTTGTCCATGGTGGTGGTGGTGGTGGTGGTGGTGGTGATGGTGATGGGAACTGTTTCCATGGTGATGATGCAATGCATTCTGTTGAGGGGCTACATGAAAGGTTGTTTCTTGAACGGGATGAGTTTCAACAGTGACCTGTGTAGGAGCTTCAGTGCCTGACCAACCAAGGGGAGCAGGAAACTGCTGACGCACCTGTAAGAAGATTTTTAAAAGGTTTATTCAGAGTACCGGTCCAAGACTTAATTCATCTTCAACCAAAAGCCACGACACTAGCATTTACACTAATTAGAGGGGATATTGAAACTTTTAATGTGTTAGTTATATAATGCAAAATTCCAAATATATTTGAGTGAAAAAGTATTATACTGTGAAAGCTGCCGATTTTTAGCAAGCCATATCCATAAACAAGCTCATATATTTCACTGGCTATTTTCTTTCCTTGGGAGCACTGTTTATGCCAGGGATCAGCGAACTTTTTCTGGCAAAGGCCAGACAGTGAATATTCTTGACAGGTTCAAAATGAATTCTTTACTTTCCCTCTACAAACCCTCTTCTCTCCATCTTTCCTGTTTCAGTAAGAACACCCATTCCGTCAGCTGCTCAGCAACTCCTCCAAAGAAACCAGCAAGTACAAGAGCGCCCCACCTGACCTCTCCCCTCCCGTCCACCATGACCCTGTTTCTCCCAGGCTCCTCCCATTTCTCATCGATCTGCACTGGGACAAAAGCCCCCTCAATCAGCTCCCAGCTTCCATCCTTGTGCCTTCTTCCAGTCCATTCTCCATAGTAAAGAATACTGTTTTTTAAAACACAAATCTAATCACTTCCCTATTTAAAATCCTTTAATGATCTCTCTGTGCCTCAGAAAAACAAAATAAGCCAAAATCCACACAGCAGCCTGCCACATCTGGCCAATGTTTACTTCTCCGAACTTCTCCTCTAGCTACCCTTCCTCTCGCTGCCTGGGCTCCAACCACACCAGCTCTTCCTTCCACTCTTGCACCTGGCAGTATTTAAATGTCTCAGGGCATTTGTGTCTACTGTTCCTTTCTGCCTAAAATGCTCAGGTTTCTAACTTCCGCCTGGATGCTTCTTTCTCCTTTCAGTTCGAGTCTTCTCTGACCACTCTAGGTAAGGCTGCCCCAACTCCTGTGGCAGAAGCTCCTAGCTGTCCTCACCGCTGCACTACACTTCCCAGCCTCCCCTGTACTTAGCTATGGCCACAGGACTAAATTATAGTCAGTGGAACGTGAGTGGAAGCTTTGTATCATGGCCAGATCTGGCCCACAAATACCTCCCAAGGTAGGTCAGGCAGGTAATGCCCTGCCTGGTGGATACAGCAGACAAGTAGGTCCTAATGGATGGAAGAGCCCAGAACACAGGAGACAGCCATGCCACTAACCTCAACGCCCACAGAACCATTACATAAAAAAGAAACTTTATACTCTTTAAGCATTATTTTGTTAGAAATAACAATACTTAATAATAAATAACAATATTTTGTTACAAATAAGTAATACTCTAAGTATGATTTTTAAATTATTACTTTTAAGTATTTTAAGTATGATTTTTAAATTATTTGTTTTATTTTGGGAGGTCTGTTATCAATTCAGCCTACTCAAATTGTAACACATCCTGCCCAAAGAACAGCTGTTCTGTATGTATCACATTATCCCGCCCGGTTTTCATTTTATCAATTAATGGTATCTGCAATTTCTATTAATTTGATTTTGCTTATTTACTGCAGCACTATAGGTTTGAAGAAGGCAAAGCCTGTGTCTCTTTTACCAGTAGCCAGCAAAAATTGTTAAGTATTTACTCAATAAAGGTAGTCTAAGAACCAAACTTCAAGAAACACCACTGAGAACAATCCAGTAGAAAAAAAGGCAGAAAGTTCTCAGACAATACTAATGGTTCTTAAACTATGAAGCTATTCAAATTTGTGGATAAAAGGAACTAAGCAAAATAAAAACATCCTCTGTCCAATACGATTTTTCATTTCACACTGATCAAAGGTGATCACACCAACTGTTTCTCTAGAGTCTTGTTAGTGGAAGCCTATATGGGCAAAACTAAACAGAGAGCAATCTGGCAGCAGGTATTAAAAAAAATCAGAGATCCCATCGCTCTCTGACCTGTGATTCCACATCTAGGGGGTTCTATCACAGTTACACTGCATGTGTGTGAGTGCTATGTGTGTGGCACTCCAGCATCATCTCTAACAGTCAAAAAGGCTGGAAGTTAACTAACCGTCCATCAGCAGGGGCCTGGGGAAATGACTTATGGCTATCTAAACCGTAGAGTACTGTGTGACTACAAAGAAAGAAAGAAGAAAAAGTTGTCCATGTACTGATATAGGAGCTCCAAATATATGTTAAAAAATACATGTAAAACATACTGGAAAAAAAAAACACTCAAGATGTGAAAAGTGTGCATAGCATGCTACTCTTTGTGTACAAAGATTAAGAATATAGATCTGTATGTGGATATGTGTAGAATATCCCAGAAGGATACAAAAACCAGTTAACACTAGTTCAGAAACTGGGTGGCTAGAGGACGTGGCAGGAAGTCTTCACTGAATCCCCTTTTACATTTACTTTTTTTAACGATGTATCATCTATTCAAAACATTAAATAAAGAAAGGCTAAAGGCAGATAAGGCAAAATAATGACTCCTGTGAAACACAGGTGGGAGGTACACAAGAATCTCCTGTTACTCCTGGTCCGTGGTGGTGGTGGCGGGATTTCACGCATTTGGAGAGCAGAAGAAAGGTAGGTCGTTCTAAAGATGGGACATTTAGGCAAAGATCTGAAGTATAAATGGTAGTGACTACAGCAAAGAGAAAGGAAAAGTGTTCAGGCTGAGCACAGGACATGTGAGAAACATGAAAGAACACAGTGTCTTCCAAAAAATGGAAAAAATCCAGTAAGACCAGAGCAAATAAAGAGGAGAAAAAATGCCCTGGAAAGTGGTCAGACGATGCTGGTCACTGACATCCTCCTGAGAGTCTAAAGTTCCTTTTAAGTGCGAAGGAAAACCAAACACTGGTTTAAAGTAGGGAAAGGCCGCATCAGACTGCTCTACTGCCTTCACAGGCCTGCAGAGAAAAGAATGGTGTTGACGCCGTATGGAGTCAGATGCCGCAGGACTAGTCAGAAAATTCTTTCTAACAAGACAGGCTGGAGATGGCTCCAGCAATGGGGCGAAGTAAAGAGAGTAAGAGCTACTTAGAATATTAAGAATACACTCAATTTACTATCTGATTCAACTGCAGGATGAGGGAAAGCCGAGTCAAAAATCAGCTCCCTAGCCCCCAGGTGCGTGGCTGGAACAAATGGGTGAATCTCGGGCCATCGTGTGAAGAACCCACACAGCTGGGCAGCTGCGAGCAGCACCAGTGCAGTTTATACGATGCATCTGCAGTGTCCTGTTGTGGAGACTTTGGAAGTGACGGTTCCGGTCAACAGAAATAAAGGCTCTGGACATAGGAGGGAGGTCTGGGTGAGCAATGAAGCTGGAGGAGTGTCCCGCATCAGGACGGCACTGCGGCCGGGGGGCTGGGGGACTCACTCGGTTGGGCGTCTGACTCTTGGTTTCCACTTGGGTCGTGATCTCGGGGTCAAGGGATCAAGCCCTCCATCAGACACCAGGCTCAGCGTGTGGTCTGCTTGTCCCTCTCCCTCCTGCTCTGCCCATCCCCCACCCAACACTCTCTCCAATAAATGAATGAATAAAATCTTAGATTGAAAAAAAGAGGACAGTACTGCAGTCATGGCGGGGGGGCAATAGAGAACCCCGAAGAGAAGACAAGGAAGGAAAGGCCAGAGGAGCGCGGGGTGGGGGCGGCGTCTGGAGGTGGCCTGTCGAGGGAAAAAGGAGGACAGTGCTTCAAAGGGCAGGCGGGAGCCAGCACTGTCAGCGTGGGTGGCGGCCGGCGACAGGCGAGTGTGGGGGCGCCCACTGGCCTCCTCGGCAGTGAGCCCGGCCGCCGCCGAACGGCGGGAGGCAGCCCAACCGGAGCAGACTGAAGAGCTCTTCGGGGGTAACACAGAGCTCCCCTCGCCCCCACCCCCTAAAATCATAGGGCCGGACAGACACGGGCCAGGCAAAGATTCAGCTCCAGCTGGGAGAGACGTGGGGGAGGATCAGCCGCTGACGGGAAGGAGAGTCAAGCTGAAGAGGAGAGGCGGCAGCCCCGGGAGCCAGAGGCTGAGCAAAGGGCAACGTCAAACGCAGGCGGGAGCTCAAGACGGGGCCGGCCCGGGGCGGGAGGGAAGACGCCGACTCTGAGGAGAGGCGGAGGCACGAGAGAGACGCAGACAAGCGCGCCGGCTGGGCGAGGTGCGCCTTCTCTGAAGACTCTCCGCAGGCCGCAAGGAGCTAGGTCCGTGAGGGGCAGGTCAGTGGTTTCTAAGAAGAGTAGAAGCAGCAACTGGAACAATGACTGAAGAGACCGGGGAAGACAGGAGGTGAGGAGGAGCGGCTAAGGCTGCCCAGAGAGGCCGGGGCAAACTAACTAACGGTGGTGCCGACTGTCCGCACGTGGGCTTCGCTCCTGCAGCAGCAGCAGACCCGCCACCAGAATGCGGGGTGGCCGTCCACGACCTCAGCTTTGCTTCACCCATCAAACACTACCCTGGCCTCTCACTACAAAACATCGTAATGCAGTGCTTGGAATGAACCACGAAGAGCAGTTAGTAAGTATTTTACTACCACCATCTGCTTCACCCATTTTTTCTATAAAAATTAATCAATTACAGCCTCTTCTTTAACTGCTGGGCCGGGACACAGTGGGGGACGGTGGGAGCGGCGTGGGAGCTCACCTGGGGACTGTGGGTCTCACAGTCCATGGCCTGGACGGCAGCTGTGAAGTGCCCGCCGCTGTGCCGATGCTGGTGCGTCGGGTCTGACCTGGCTCTCCCACTGTTGCTCGTCCCCGACGATCCACCTTCAGTATCACACACAACACAGCACGTGTAAGTCTCAAGTTCACTCTGCTTGGGTATACATTCTAGAACTCAAACACTGAAACTGAAAGTGCTTCGCACACAAAAAGCTCTATTAATCTGAGAGCGTATCAGACAGTTAGTTATCCAGTTCTCTAAGTTCTTCCACATCAGCCACTTTGGTTTTGGTTACATCAGGGAAAATTTCAGGCATATGAACAAAGTAGTTCTATTTAAAAAGCAATTAAAAATTTCGGTTAATAAAGAGTTTTGTTTCCAACTGCCAAGCAGAATTTATTAGGCATAATTAAGTATTGGAGCTTTGGGGCAGGTGGATTTTTTTTTTACTAACTACAAAGAACAGATTTAGGCCAAGTAATTCCTCCCGATCCCATCAACAAGTTTTTAAGATACTTTACAATAACCCCCACTTTGTAAAGAAAACAGGCAAGGCTCCCAAGCCTAACCCAGGGTCGGAGAACTGACCTGAGCTTGAAGACGTACTAGAGGTGGTGCCCGAAGACTGTGACTGCTCCATTGCGGGGCTGGTGGACACACTGTTACTTGTATTGGTGCCTTCGTCAGCTGTTTTCTTGAAAAAACTGTGCTGCAGGGCATAGTAAGGTTGAATTCGAGTTTTGGGGTCATAATCAAGCATCCTTAAAATGAGGTCTTTGAACTTCAAGTAGTCAGCTACAGTATGACCCGATTCCCCAGCACGACGCCCACCAGGTCCTCCTGTTTCTACTCCGAGAATATTATGAAGTTTACGGGTTCCTGGTGGTTTATACTCCTAAAGAGAAGAAAGATAAAAAGGCTTTCTCTAAATGTGATGGTTATGTAAAAGCCTACGTAACTTCAAATATGCTTCAATCTATTATAAAGAGGCCCTTATTAAAAGGCTTGTAGTTAGGATCCTCTGTATTTTCATACATTACCATCGCAAATGCACTTATAGTAGAGAAATTCAAAATAGCTTTGAGATCAAAAATGACTTTAAAGATCACGCAGCCCAGGACTCAGCAAACAATGGCCTGGTCTCAGAGGTGTTTGTGTACAACCTCAGCCACACATGGTTTTCACAGTTCTGGAGGATGTAAAAACCAACCAAACCCAAGTTAAGACACCAGAAGCCCACAGAGCCTACAGACCGTACTCTCTGGTTCTTTACGTGAAGGAGCTGTGCCCGCTGCTGCTCTGGCCACGTGCTCCTGAACCTCTTTCTGCCTGATGCCCCACCAACCCTGGCCGCACTTCCTTTCACAATGGCATCTCTCCAGAGCTGTGGTAATCACTCCAAGTAGGCTCTACATTACACTGGTTTAAACCTACCTACTCGTATTTTTTTAAATTTTATTAACAGTTATCTCTACACCCAATGTGGGGCTTAAACTCACAATCCCAAGATCAAGAGTCACAGGCTTTACCGACTGAGCCAGCCAGGCGCCCCTTGCTCATATTTAGATAAAGAAATTAAAAACAAATTATTTATGCCTCCCTTTAGAGTATGTTGAATAATAAATTACCTTAACGTGTTGATATTTTCTGAAAACTAATTTTTAAACAGATGACAGTATAACCCTTAAAAATCCTATGAATACTGAATTTATTCAGAATATCATCACTGGATTTTTACTTCTGGTGACAATGTACAAATTTGCAAGAGACTATTACTCTCATTCTAAAAGCAAGAACAAACCAAGAAGGTAGGCCAGAAAATCATTCCATTTTAAAAAACCCGTTATAGGGGCACCTGGGTGGCTCAGTGGGTTAAAGCCTCTGCCTTCGGCTCAGGTCATGATCCCAGGGTCCTGGGATCGAGCCCCGCATCGGGCTCTCTGCTCAGCAGGGAGCCTGCTTCTTCCTCTCTCTCTGCCTGCCTCTCTGCCTACTTGTGATCTCTCTCTGTGTGTCAAATAAATAAATAAAATCTTAAAAAAAAAAACAAAAAACCGTTATAGTGCCACGGCCTAAACAAACCAGAATTAACTAAATTCCAGAAAATGAAAGCCCTTCTTGGGAAAGAAGCGTCGTAAGGTGGGAGAGGAAACAAATGCCAGAGATCTGGGTAAGAATCCAGCCCAACTCTGAACCGACTTGTGGGGGTGGAGGAGGACCCCAGGCCGAGCAAAGGCCTGTGGACAGTCCAGGTGGAGCCCGCGGGGCACTCCCATGCTGGGGGCAGAGCAGCAGGACGGACAGCGACTGCGTGAGGCACAAACAGGAGCGGGCTGCTGGCAGTAAAGTACAGAGAGCGCTCAGGTCTCCAGAGACAGGGCTCAGAACCTATGAACACCGTGGAGAACAGAATCTAAGCTGAGCAAACAGACAAAGTGAAGCCCAGACTCAGCTTACTACAAAGAAAGCTGACTCCGTCCCACTCTACTGCCTGACAGAATGAGAAGTGGGTCTCTTTCTGGAGGAAGTAAGATTTACTTCCCTCTCAAGTGTTCTTAAATACAAAGTCTGGCATACATTTAAAAAATGAGACACAAGAAATTTAAACAAAATGGATCTATAATGAATTGAAAAAGAGAGAAGACCCACATAAATAAATGATCCAAATGCTGAAACCGGCAGATAGGCATTATCAATAATTATGACAAACAGATTAAAGAATTTAGTTCAAAAGGAGGACAATATGTATGAATAGATAGGGTGTTTCAGAAGAAATGAAAACTACATTAAAAAAAAAAAAAAAACAGAAAAGAGGGGTGCCTGTGTGGAACAGTCGGTTGAACGCTGACTGACTCTTGGTTTTGGCTCAAGTCATGATCTCAGGCCCCATGTTGGGCTCCATGCTCAGCATTGAATCTGGTTAAGATTTTCTCTCCCTCTCCTCCACAATGTATTTTCTCACTCTCTCAAATAAATAAATCTTAAAAAAAAAAAAAGTGGAACTATAAGAACTAAAATATGCAGTATCAGAAATAAAGAATTCACTTAATCGTTTGAACATAAGACTGGACTCAGCAGAAGAAAAAAAATCAGTCAATCAGAAGACAGAGCAAAGAAATTATCTAAACTACAACACAAAAAGAACACAGAATGAACAAACCAGAGACCTCTAAGATAACGTTATTCACTGTAACATACATTTAAGTAGCGAATAAGACTGAGCAGAACAAATATTTGAAAAGACGAAAGTCTGAGGATATTCAAAACTTGGTGAAAGAGAACAATCCACAGACCCCAAAACTCCGCAAACTCCAAAAAAATAAATACAAAGGAAACTACACCAAGGGACATAAGAGTCAACTTACTGAAGAACTGAACATAAAGAGAAAAACATCAAAATCAGCTGGGGGAGAGGGAGACACATCACATATAGATAATGATGCTTAGAAAAATTATTGGCTTCTCTTCAGAAACAACGTAATACAGAAAACAATGTCAGTAACATCTTTAAACAATGTTATAATTTCTTTTTTCTTTTGCTAAAATGTCAACCTAGTATTCTATATCCATGGAAATTTCCTTATCTTCCTTAAGAAGGTAAGTAAAGACATTTTCAGATAAACATCTGTTGACAGAAATCACCACCAAAAGTTATTCACCCTAAAATAAAAAAACTAGACAAAGTTCTGTTCTGGAGGAACATAATACCAGCTAGAAGCCAGAAGTTGCAGAAAGGAAATCAAGATCTGCACAGGTAAATAGAAAAGATTATCTTATTATCTTAATTCTTTGTTTGTTTTAAAATTTCTTTAAAAGTCATTTTTTATTTAGAGCAGTTGAGCTATTTGTGGTGAGGGCTCTAACATATGCAGAAGTGATATACAATGAAAGTGCACAGAAGGTGGAGGGTTAGGCAAAAGCACATGGTTAGTTACATGCTTTATCAAGTGATATCAGATGAATGCCAACTGATCAGTTTAAGATGCATATTATACTAAAATTTACACACAGGGACGCCTGGGTGGCTCAGTCAGTTAAGCGTCTGCCTTCAGCTCAGGTCATGATCTCAGGGTCCTAGGATCGAGCCCTGCCTCAGGCTGCTGGCTCAATGGGGAGTCTGCTTCTCCCTCTCCCTTTGCCTCTCCCTCCGCTCATGTGCTTGCTTATTTGCTTGCTCTCTCTCTCTTTCTCTCTCTCTCTCAAACAAATAAATAAAAAATCTAAAAAAAAAAAAAAAAAAGAATAAAAATTACAAAGTAACAGCTACTCAACAGAGGAGATGAAATAAAAGAACCAAAAAGTATTCCATTAACCCAAAAGAAGGCAGGAAAGAAGGAATGGGGTAAGGAGGTAAGACGAAGAGAGTACAAATAAGACAACATTTTAAAGCCCAAACCTGAGGGTTTTTAAGGAATAATTAAATGAGTTAAAAATTCACCATGAAATAAACAGACAAGCTGAATGGATCAAAAGACATGACAACTTAACACTGCATACAAGAGGCATACTTCATATATAAAAGTACGGGCAGATCTGAAGTCAAAGGGTTGGGAAAATACAGACCATGAGAATGTGAAGAATAAGAAACTTGGTATAGATATAGTAATATCAGACAAATCAGACTTAAAGACAAAAAAGAAAAATATTACTTGAGATAAAGAGGGACATTTCCTCATAATGAAAAAGTGAATTTACCACAAAGCCACAACAGTAAATGGGTACACATGACTAAGAGAGCTTAAAAATACATAAAGCAACTGAAGGGAGATTAAGACAAATCCAGAATCAGGAGCACCTGGGTGGCTCAGTTGTTAAGCATCTGCCTTCAGCTCAGGTCATGATCCCAGAGTCCTGGGATGGAGCCCTGCACTGAGCTCCCTGGTTGGCGGGAAGCCTGCTTCTCCCTCCCCCTGCTTGTGTTTCCTCTCTTGCTATGTCTCTCTCTGTCAAATAAACAAATACTAACCCCCCGCAAAAAAGACAACTCCTAAATCATCACTAAAGGTTAACATTCCTCTCTGTCAATGGGAGAACAAACATCCACAGATACACATACACACAAAGTAAAGGATATAAAAGATATGGGGGAAAAAAATCAAACAACCCAACCTATGCTGACATTTGTAGACCACTATACTAAATAAACGTATAAAATACAATTCCTTGCAAATATAGACAGAACATTGACCAAGAAAGATTACCTGCTGTATCATAAAACAAGCTCTGAATCAACTTTAAAGGAGTGAAATCATGTTTTCTGACCATGATGCTACTGAAGTAGAAATCAGTTAATAATAAGATGTTTAGAAAATCCTCAAATATTTTGAAATTATGTATCAACATTCCAAATAACAATGGGTCAATAAAGAAATCACAAGGGAAATTAGAAATGTTTCAAAATCAATGAGTTAAAACATATCCCAAGTCACTGCATGCAGCTAAAGCAGTAATCAGAGGGAAATTTATGCCTTTAAATACTGTTAAGAAAAAAGTTTTACATAAATGATCTAAGCTTCTCCTTCAGAAACTAGAAAACACAAATTTAACCTAAAGGAAGGAGAAGAAAAACAAGTAATAAAAAAAAAAATCAATGAAATAGAAACAAGACTAAACAACAGTAAGAACAAAACAAAAAACTCGTTGTTTGGGGCGCCTGAGTGGCTCAGTGGGTTAAAGCCTCTGCCTTCAGCTCAGGTCATGATCCCAGGGTCCTGGGATCGAGCCCCACATCGGGCTCTCTGCTCAGCAGGGAGCCTGCTTCCTCCTCTCTCTGACTGCCTCTCTGCCTACTTGTAATCTCTGTCTGTCAAATACATAAATAAAATCTTAAAAAAAAAAAATTCTTAAAAAAAAACTCGTTGTTTGAAAAGATAAGTAAATTTGACAAATCACTAGAAAGAATAACAGGGAAAAAAGGGAGAAAACAGAAATGACCGACATTAGGAACAAAAGAGACACTATCACTACAGATCCTCAAGAAATTACAAAGATAATAATGAGATACTATGGGTAATTTTCTGCTAACAAAGCCAACAACTTAGATAAGGACAAGTTTCTTGAAATCCAAACTTACCAAAATTGACTCAAAAAGAAAATCTGAATAGCCATATATTTATAAAAAATATGAACTATAATTAATAACCCTCTAACAAAGAACATCCCCAGTTCCTGATAGCTTCATTAATGAACTCTATTAAAACATATTCAAAAGAATGCCAATCTTATACAAATTCTTTCAGAAAAATCAAGAAGGAATACTTCCCAATAGTTTTATGAGACCAGCATAATCGTGAGATCAACATCTAATGAAGGTATTATATAAAATTTTAGACAAAAATCCATTTAATGACAAACTTCCTACCAATATAGACAAACTGAACCCAGCAATACTTAAGACAGTATATCAAGGTCAAGTGTGGTTTATCTTAGGTTGAGCTTAATATTCTAAAAGTTAATTAATGTATTTTACCACATAATAGGAGAAAAACCATATGATCATCTCTACAGATGCAGAAAGCATGTGACAACATTCAAAACCCACTAATGATTTAGAAAAACAAACAAGCAAAACACTTGTCTAAAAACAAAGGAAACTACTCCTTCAACCTGATAAAGGGCTGCAACAAATATACAATCCATACCATACTTAAAAATATCAGATAAATGTATGTTTTTCCCACAAGACTGGGAACATGGGAAGATGTCTGCTCTCACCATAACTACTCAACATATGGAAGTTCCAGTCAGTATAATAAAATAAAAAATCAATAAAGGTATACAGAGTCAAAGAACAAGACTCCTCATTTGCAGAGGACATGATTAAGCAGGAACTCCTATAGAATCTAAAAACAAAAAACTAGAATAGGCAAATTTAGCACGGTTTTAGGATATAGAGTCAACATAGAAAACTCAGTTCTATTTCAACATATTTGCACTGAGAAACTAGAAGACAGTACTTTAAAAAGGACACTTAAAATTGCATCCAAAAAATTAAAATACAAAAGATGCCTGCGATTGCTGCACAAAACACTACAAAATGCTGCTGATACAAATTAATGACTAAATAAATGGAGAAATGTTCACAGACTGAAAGACTCAATGCTGTTAAAATGTCCATCCTGTTGGATGAACTCAAATGCAATCCAAATAGAAATTCCAGCAAGATTTTTTGCGTACAAATTTAGAAGCAGATTCTTAAATTTATATGTAAATAAAAAAGACCTAGAGAATAGGAAAAAAAAAAAAATTCTTGAGACAGAAGACAAGAGCTGGTGGCTTTATACTACTTGAATTTGAGACTTACCACACAGCTACAGTAACTGGCACCACAGTACTGGTTCAAGGGCTCATCAACCAAAGCAACAGAAGAGGGTGCAAATACAGACCCACACATAAAAGATGAATTTTTCAGACAAAAGCTCCCAGATCAATAGGGAAAGGCAACAATTCAACAAATAATGCTGCAATGCTTAGGTAAGGACCTGGGGACATGAACATCAACTTCTATACCTCATTCCACATTCAAAACTTAATTCCAGATGAACCACAGAATTTGAACCATAAAAACTCGGATCAAAAAAATCTTTTAAAAGAAAGCACAGAAGGCCCTCACAAACCTGAAGATGGCAAAGATGTCTTAAGATACAAAAACTACTACTATTCATAAAAACCAGTTGACAAATTTGATTTCATTGATACTAAAAAATTTCCACCCATCAAAAGATACTACCAAGAAAAGAAATAGATAAACCAGTCTGGGAAAAAAATATTGACACATAATGTGACCAAGGACTTAGATCCATTATGTGTGTTAAAAAACAAACAAAAAAAACCTTCCTACAACTCAATAATTAAAGAACTCAATAATAAATGAGTAAAAAACTGGAAAGATGGTTGCAAAAACACCCAGCAACAACTATGAATGGTTACTAAGCACATACTATTAGCCATGGAGAAATGCAAATGAAACCACTATACAGACCCGTCAGAATGGCTGATTTCAAGAACGACCAATCATACCAAATGGCGAGGACGTCATGCAACTGGAACCCTCCTCATATACTACAGGAACGTAAAATGATAAAAATTTGGAGAACTGTATTTTCTCGTGAAGGTGAACACACATATACCCTATGACCTGGCAATCCTACCTCTAGTGATCCCAGGAAAGGGAAACACACATGTACAAAAGACTTACACAAGAATGTTTCCGTACCCTTATGTATAATAGGTCCAAATCAAAAACAACTCAAACGTCCACTGACAGGTAAATATAGATAAATTACAGTATTTTTACTCAACAGAATACTATGAAGTGATAAAACGAAATAACTTTTGAAACACACAATATGGATGAATTTCCAAAAACAGTGTTTGTTAAGTGAAGGAAACAAAATAATAAATACTATAGGATTACATTTATACAAATTTTGCCTATATGTAGGCAAAATTAGCCTATGATGATAATAATCAGAAAGTGGGGTGGGATGGGATGACAAAAGGGTCAAAACAGAACTTTTAGGGTGGTGGAAATATTCTGTATCTTGTTTTAGGCAGGGTTACATTGCTGTACATAAGGTTAAAACAAAAATAAGGAATGCGTATGTTGTTGCACAAAAACTATAACAAAACAGATCTTAATTCTTCATCCACTTTCCCCACCAAAAAAATATACATATAGTAGATACAGAGTTCATTACCAGGATACTAAAACGGGCTCTTGAAACATAAATGAAAAATTAAAAGAAAGAATAAAATCACTGAGAAAATAAAAGCACAAAGAAACCCAATGATAGCACATGCACTCAATTTATACTTATAGTTAAATTCCCTAGTATATCCTTTATAATGTAATCATTCGGTTCTGGATTTAATTTTTTTTTTTTTTTTTTTTTTGGTCATTGCAAAATTCAAAAAGTTACTTTCTACTTTAAAAATTAAGTCAGTCGCTGATCGCAGCTAAGGGAAATCTCATAAAACCTATAGTTAATGTGTAGTAAATATAGGTCAAGATACTCACTTTCAATTTTAAAAAGGGAAAAGATCCATCTACTCTTTTCTGAAATGCCCCCCCCTTAATTTTTTAAAATAACAATTATAGCTCAATTTGGGAGAAATGATAGGTTACAGCCCATAGTGGCTTAACTATGGTTTTAGAAGACAGAAATATGAATGCGATGGGATGACTGTTTTATTTAGAAAAAAGAAAAAACTGGCAGAAGAAGACAAAAACTTCAAAATGGAGAAAGTAGTAGCCTGTATTGAGAGATAAACATAAAGGAGGTTTCATATCCTCCATGCTAATTCAAATCGACTGGTAGGAGCTATTTCGAATGCTGGGGAAACGAAGAAGGATTCCCAGGGCTGTGTTTTGGTTCAAGGGGAAAGGGGCCAGGCCTGATAAGCTAGTGATGTGGATAAAGGCAAAAGGATTCAGGAGACCTGCATAGTATTTCCCACCTCCTTCTTAAGGGGAGGAGGCACACTCTGGCTGCCAGATATTACACTGCCTCGAACTTGAGAGAATCAGACAGGATGCAGTAAGCTACAAATCAGCTGTGAAAGATACAATCACGGATACAATTCCAAACATTCTAAAGAAAATCTTCCAATATTAAAAGTTGAGACTCCACAGCTATGTGAAGGTGAATTAAAGCAAATAACCATCATCTTCAGTTCACTGGAAATGACACCTGGTGGCAGCATCGCTAAAATCCAAGGGCAAAATAAAAAATGGAGCAAAAATAAATCCCCAAGTGTAAAAATGCAAAACGATCATCCCAAGGTGTCTGGTATGTACATATCCCAAACAATCAGACAGTTATACATTACATTCATTTTATACTACCAACAAGCTAGATTATAAAACAGGATTATTTTTAAGAAGTTGAATCAAGATGCAAAGTTGCCATCATGTACTCTGTTAAACGGACACCGTTTAGGTATCTGAAAAAAAGTTCTCAGCTAAAAGAAAATTACTGAAACAAACCTAATGATTTGAAAACCTCACGCTGAGGATTTTGGAGATGTGACATTCCTGCTATCCATGCCACTAAGCTAAGAACCTGCACTGAAATCGATCCAAGGACTCTAGTCAGTTCATATTCTTGTCACAAACTGCCTAGTCAAAAATCTTTTTCTCCTATCTGAAATTTAAATAATAAAAAAAGAAGCATGATGTACTGTAATTATGACCTCTGTGGCTCACAGATGAAGTACTGTTAACTGTGACTTCATTACAGACCCACACTGTGAGGGAAAAAAGGTCAAATTTCCTGATTCTACTGCTATAACGAGGCCCGGTGGTTTGATCGGCTGTCTCACAAAGCAGACACAGAGTTTGCAAAATGAAGTCTTAACTCTAACCGGGAAACAAACACTGGTCCAGACAGCTCAGGTCAAACTATACCCAACTTTTAAAGAAATACACACCTAAGTTATTAATGAAACTGTTAACTAAAACACAGATGTCAAATAAACATAAAATGAGCTACAGAAAGACCGCTCCAGTAAAATAAATAACAAAGGCTTAAAAAAAAAAAAAATCCCTATTTTACCCGTTTTCCATCTTTGGTCTTCTTTAAGTTCCAAGTGCCATCTGGCAACTTCTCAAAGAACTTTCTTGCTTTTGGTGCTTGGTCAAGAATATGAGCAGGTGGAATATTCAGAACTTCCACTATTTTATTCATCTGATCTACCTGTATTAAAAATAGAAATAAAAAAGCCTGTAACTTCTACTGTAGTACATCCTACTTCGGCTCATCAATTCATCCATTCGTTCATAAATTATAAATAAATAGAGCATCTCCTGTGTGTCACACACACCTCCAAGCACTGAGCACAGAATCATGAACAAAACACATGAAGTCCCTCCCGTCCGGCAGTCCCCTCATTCCCCACAGGACAGGGCGGATAATTCAACAAACACATAAAATCAAATAACCATCAAAAAGGAAAAATTCCAGAGGCTTCATCAAGCGTGGACCGAATAAAGTGTTCTTTTTTAAGTACAGATTCCGTCACTCAAATACCAAGTGTCTACCACATGCTAGAAACCGCGCTCAGCAGAACATAGCAATAAACAGAACAGACAAAAATCTCTGCCAAAAAGTTTATATTACAGGAGAAGAAATCACTACTAGACAAATATATAATTAACTATATTATGTCGATGCCAAATAAGAACTACGGAGAAAATTAAAGGGATGGAGAGTGACAAGGGACACGGCAACAGGTACTAGAGGATCACAGAGAAGATGTTGTAGGGAGAGCAAAGACCTAAGGCAGTGAAGGAAGGAGCCATGGTGCTCCCTGGGGACAGGGACTTTAAGGCACAGGAAAGAACTAATGCAAAGGCCTTTGGTATGGGCCCACAGTATGGGCCTAGGTCTACTGTTTCCAAGGGACCACAGAGCAAAGCTTTGTGCTGGGACTGAGAGAGTGAGGGGAGGCAAGGTCGCAGAGAGATAGCAGGAGTCAGAGGGAGTAGGGGATTTTTGAGCCACTCAAAGGACTTGGCTTTTACAATGAATGAAATGGAAGCCACTGAAGTTTCAGGGGATTTAACAGAATATAGTTAATTATATTTTATCATATTTTAATTATAATTAATACAGTAGAATTTAATTTCACACTGTTTAAGCCCATGAAAAAGATACTACTTTACAGGGTAATATTACTGATAACAAAACAAAACCAATCACACACTATGCGAGTCACTGCCCAGGAGTCGCTCACTAGCTATAGTTCAACTGAATTAACAAGACAGAGGGGACAGGTTTCTGACACCATACTAACAGTTGTATAACCCAGTGTAAGTTAAGTCATTAAATTTTGTTGGCCTTTCTTTTCTTATTTATAAATGTAATGGACTGATTAAGATCTGTAATGGTTAACTTTCCTTTTTAAAAAACAAGAAACCCTGTAATGTTTTAAATCAATGAAAAGTCCAATTTCTCTGACTGCCGGAGAGCATGGCCTCTCCCATGCCCTCTTAGGCACTGCCTCTAACCTCTAAACACCTTCTAAGAACAGACTGAAAACCCATGAATTAGAAGAATTACATATCATCTGTAGCTGCTGAATTCTATAATCCTAATTCATCCTCAATTATTCAGATCAAACAGCCCTCCACAAGGCCACTGGTCATCACTTCTTAAATTCCAAATCATACTTTCAAAATTTACAGCGATGTTTACATTGTTCTTAGGGTGGCCCTTACGCATTTTTATCATCATTTCCGTTACATTATACATAAAATCTGTAAAAAATTTAAACCAGAATGCTTAACTTTTATTAACTTCCTATTCTTCTCAGTAGCAAATTGAAAGATCTCATTTCCCACCTCAAATCCTAAACTCACCATAATGATAACTGAAAAAACTTTAAAAATGGATAAATTCAAAAGTGTCCCAACATTTTAATATTTAATAGGCATATTTTCCTAAAAACAATTTTCAGGTTACACTGTCATAGATTAAAAACAAAAAGAAATTATGAAAACAGAAACAGAATTTTAAAAGCAATCCATCATATACCTCATTGGCTCCACTGAACAGAGGTTCTCCAGTGTGCATTTCAACCAAAATACACCCAAGGGACCACATGTCAATAGCAAGGTCGTAAGGCATTCCCAGTAGCACCTCTGGAGACCGATAAAAGCGACTCTGAATATACTGGTATATCTGAAATATATTTCAATATCGTATTAATTCCAACATAAGTTTTGTTTAATTATGCTCCACACTGAATTAAGTACATTTAACTAGAATTAACAGAAAAAAATAATCGGCTAACTCCTAAATTTGGGTTCCATTTACCCATTTCAACCTTCTACTACAAGTATTATCTAAACAACTAAACATTTCAAGAGTGGTTACTCTGACTGTGAAATGCAAAACACAACACAACAAGTCCTTCCATTTAGTGCAATCCTAACTGGTAATCAAGATCCACACCCTAAAACAAATAATTATGCCTTATTAGAAAAAAGACATTATTGAGAATAGTTTGTTTCTCTATTATTCTTTCCTGCTATGGCTGGCACTTGGTTTACCATTAATGGAAGGACTAAATTGTATTTAAATTAACCTTAAGAATGTATTTCAGCATTAAGTCAAACAAACTCTGTACACCGTAAATGACAGTTCAGGTATCTACACTGTAGTAGTCTCAAAGATAAATGTGAGAAAGGCTGCTAGTAAAATCCAAATGGGAGTCGTTTCTGACCAATCACTTCTGCCCTGCACTCCTCCACCTCAGTCTAAGACTTCTTAGGAAAAGAAAACCTTGAAATGGATAATTTTCAACAAAGTAATCAGAGAATGTCTTAAGAAACCAATTCATCTTCACTTAGCCATTGTAAATTTGTACCTAGCAATATCATGAAAGCAAAGAAAGTTTTATGTAAAAAGAGAAAGAAAGAAACAAAATCCTCCTAACTAAAACTTCCTCACTTAACACTCTCGACTAGGCGGCCAGCAGCACAGTGCTGCTTTCTCCTGAATGTTTCTGTGGCTCCCACCAGAAACTCCAGCCAAATCTCCAAGAATAACCTGAGGCCCCCATAAGCAGGTCAACCCAACTTTAATGCCTTGTCAGAGTAAAGAAGCTGAAATTCAAAGGGACCGAGAAGAAGTATTACGTTTCTAAGCGCTCACAAACCAACAGCCCTGGTAAGCCCCAAAGACTCCCTACCAGTAAGATTGTCTCATTCCCCGGCTTATGCAAAAAGTTTGTCAGTCACCTATACATTTTGGTTAAAAGCAGTGGTTGGGTCATCTACAATGTTGTGCCCCAAAATCCCCCTGAAATACACCTGCCCTGCCACCTTCTGAGACTGAGACTAGGGTAGGGTCACTGCATGTGTATTTTAGAAAGGATCTCTCATTCTATCTGATACACTGAACACAGTTTAAAACCTAATTGAGCCAAAGGGATAGTTGTCTCAGTTCGGCTGGAGAGACACTGTAGTGTTTGATATTAGTATGGAACATAGGATTTTGTTTAAATAGGGGGGAAATTATTCCAAATCTAAATCTATTCAAATGACTCTCAAATGGGCATGTATTTTCCATTCGCAATATACTTTATCCCACATTAACAACTATGAACAGCTCCTGATTTTCAGAGGCATCTGAAACTGCAAATTTTGCTTCCTACTCCCTCAGTTTATTTCAGTGATCTACAACACCACTGCCATGAGAGAGCTGCAGAAAAGAACAAGCCTGATAATCCTGTTAGCTGACTACAAATCTTCACGACTGAATTAACCATCCATATCTAAAACACGAAAAAAAGTTGCATAGGACAAGAACTCTCACTCACTTGGAAAAACAAAAACTGGAAAGCCAGTATGAAATACTATCTGAATGTTAGTTGTGGTTTTTCTTTTCTCCCCCAAGAAATGCAGCTTCAGTAATTACAAGTAAATAGGAACAGTGTTTAAAGTGAGTACAATATTATCAAATGATTTTAATTTCTTTCAAGAAGAAAGAAACCTATCACTTCTATGTTATATGTGAAACACACTGTTAAGAGAAGCTTTCATAACACTAGAAAGAATAGTGGGAAAAATCTGCTTTCTTAAATCCGCTAAATCTCAATCTGTATTATTGCTACAGACAGGTCTGTTTTTAGCAGTCTGAGGAAAACCAGTGTGGACACGTGTCAGAATTTACAGAGGGAGAAAAAAATTTAAACTTATTTATCAAAAACAAGTATGTCTAACCAACTGTAATTTCTACACTGTATCACCATGTGGAATGCAAAACTACCTGTATATTTCTAAACCCATCAGTTTTTGAAGAAAATCATTTATCTTGATCTATCTTTGGAGAAGAATTTCACAGCAAGGATTCAATATTCGAGTACTGGAATATCCCCAAATTCATACTAAAACCTCTACTTGCGAAATACAGTTAAAAACCACCTTAGGCATACATATAATTTTTAAAAACCTACTTTTAAAAAAGCCCAGTATCTTCTAATCCAGAATCTTGTATTTGCATTTGAAGAGATACGTCCCCAAAACATGTTTCAACACAATGTGATTAGAGTGCTGTATTTTAAGGGTAACTATCCTATAATTACCTCCAAATCGTAAACACATTAATAACATTTCAAGTATCTACCGACACTATTTTACCTAATTCTATTTTAATTCACAAGTCCTGAAATATACTTACCCTCTGCCCCAACTGACAAGAACTGCCAAAGTCAACGATCTTGATTGCACTGCGTTTGGGGTTACAAAGAAGGATATTCTCAGGTTTTAGGTCACAGTGAATGATACTAAGTTCTGGAGTTGCAAGGAAAAGCAGTGCAGTGCACATCTGCTGTGCAAACTTTCGTGTTAGGTTCAAAGAGACACCTCGAAAATTGGTGTTCCTCAACAAGTCATAGAGGTTGTAAGACAGCATTTCAAAAACTAAACAGAGATGGTTTCGAAACATAAAGTGGCGTTTCAAATGCACTGAAAGACAAAAAAAGTTTCATTTTAAATTATACACGCCAATAAAATGAGAATAATGTATGCATGAACTCTCAATCTACAACATTTCAATGTCAAATGTAGAGTGAAAATCAAGTTAAAATTTGGAGATCAGCATTCTGCAGTAACAGCACATTCTATAATCAGTCGGGAATATCTAAATCGTTCGTCTGCTGAGTTAAACAGGTGTGGTGTCTGCCAATAAACAATATAATGTAAGAAGTACCACCAAAAGACTTTGCTTTAAAAAAAAAAAAATGAAGTCAGGTCTGAAAACAAGCAGCAAAGCGACAAACAGTACTGAGAATACTTCAGTAACTTTATGCTCGCTTCTACGAGAAAGCATTTTTTACTTCCTCAGACCCCAACCTCACAACTTCACCTAAGCTCCACCCACTGGGATCTCCAAGTTGTGACAATGCAGGACTTGGCATTGTCTCTGGGAAGGTTTTCAGGCTCTGATACATATTCACATTCTGCTCTGCTGAGCTTGAGATCTCCCTAGTAATCTCCTGCAACAACTGTCAAAGGAAGACACAGATCTTTTTTTCTTTTAGGAAAACAAAACAAATATTTGAAAAGCACGCTTTACAAGATCTTAAAAGAGTTCATAATCAACTCTTTTGATTGTGTTCACCAAACTGGTAAATGGTATATCTTGTACACAACTGAAGGTCTGGGAAAACTTGAAAATAAAGCTCAATCAAAAGAAGAAATTACAAGTAGGCTTATGAATGAGAAAAGAGTATAGAAGCCATCACACGCTATCACGCTATCACTGCTGACCCTCTAAAAAGGCCTAATACTCACTAAATCGCTTCAAAGACTGTGCTTTTAGTACTAACACTGCCCATCAGATGAGGTCATTCAGTGAAGTGCTGCCCTTCACTGTAAAACTCTCATATACACCAAACTGAACACTCATAACTCAACTGGAATGACACAAAACCACCCATCTGTCAAGGTTACCTTCATTTTGGTCTTTTAGTTTCATAAAAACAGAGGCTCCTCTACAGATCTATCTGGAGTAACCATAGTGGTATTCAAGGTCTGGTCCCTGAGAATGGGAATACACTGTGTTGTCCTGCACCGCCTCATGGGGAGCAGTGCACATCAACACTGTTTTTACATCATCCTGACACACACGATCCAAAGTTAGGATAAATAACAATACAAATACTTCATAGCTCTATCAGAGCCCACAGTACAACTCAACACTCTACCAATAAAAGGAATCCTTAAAGGTTACTGAAGAATGTATAATATCTGCTCTTAATCACCGAAGTTCATATGTTTCATACTAAAAACAGAGCTCCACATGCAATAGAGACACCCCACAAACTTGGTCAAGAGTTTTAATTTGATTAAGCAATAGCCACAAAAAGAACGCAAAAAAGTAAATGATGCCACAATTCCAGTTTAATTATGAAAATTCCTTTAAGAAGCTCTGTGATTAGAAAGTTCCTCCAATGGGGGTGCCTGGCTGGCACAGTCAGTAAGCATACGACTCTGGATCTCGGGGTCATGAGTTCAAGCCCCACACTGGGCATGAAACCTACTTCAAAAAAGAAAAGAAAGTTCTTCCAGTGGAAGATCAAGCCACTTGGTTCCACTTGACTTCCCAATTCATTATTCCTTTACTGAGTATCTACAATGTACTGAGCACTAAAGATGTTGTCAAATCTCCAACACAAGTATATTTATGTATCTTTTAAAACTGAACTTTGGGGATAATGGAGGGTCAGCAAAACTTTGTTCTAGACCTAAACTGAATTTTCTTTTGACTAGATCATGACAGGTACCAAATAATCCAGGTGAGAAATTATGCTACATGGTCAAGTAGTAGTTTTAAGTTTCAAAGACTTAAGATTATAAAACTCATCAGAATAAATTATATTTATCTATCACACTGAACAAAAGTTATTTATATCAGAAAAGAGCAATATGACTTTGAGACATCTTAAATTTAAGTATCAAATCTACCTGCAGCACTAGGTCTAAATCTAAAGGTTTTATTTGCCTTCCAATAGAGAACCTCAGTTCCTTAACACACTGCATTCACCACCTCCCTAAATAAGAACTTAAAAAAAATTTCATCTAAAAAACATCAATCATGATTAATGCAACTTTCATAATCATTTTAAAGTTTGCTAAAAAACAAACGTTATTTATTAAAATTTATTAAATTTTTTAACTTACTAAAAAAAGTTTATTAAAAACAAAAATGACAGGCATTATTATATACAACCAAGTGGCTGGCATTTATTGAATACTTACTATATACTTGCCATGTTTTCTTTCAATAAGGCAGAATTAAAATGTTATAGTAATGCTATCAACATATTCTCTACTACTTAAGCAAACACTCAAAATACAACATACAAAAATGAGGAGGAAGAAGTGGAGAGGCATGTCCACAGATTACTTTGTAAGTCAAGTATCCTTCGAATGTCCTTCTTGTGCTTCTATGTCCCTTAAATGGAAATACACTCAAACTTACACTAAGTTATAACTGACACTGAACAATAAGTGTTCAGTGAATATGAAAAGCTTTTAAATACAGATGTAATTGCAATGGATTATATCAGGTATCTACAGAGAAGAAACTAAGAAAGAAAAGTTAATAGTATAAAAGCTCGTTTTCTTGCAATACTGGGGAATGAAGGGTGTTCATAAATGAAATCTGATCTTGGTATCTGAACCTTACATTTTTTTTTTTTTTTTAAGTTTATTTATTTACTTGTCAGAGAGAGAAAAGGGGGGGGGCAGAGAGGAAGGCAGAGGCAGAGAGAGAAGCAGGCTCCCCCCGCTGAGCAAGGAGCCTGATGTGGGACTCGATCCCAGGACCCTGAGATCATGACCTGAGCCGAAGGCAGAGGCTTAACCGACTGAGCCACCCAGGTGTCCCAGAACCTTAAATTTTTAAACATGCATTTTTTTCTTTTCTGTTTCCACCGTTTTGGACAAACTAAAAAACCATATTGCCCTACTTACTCATAAAAAGGTATTTTATTACATAAAATTTAACCTCATGTTTATCAGGTAAAGCCAACATTTCTGAACAGGGTTGCTATGTATACATGCCTACAGGGAACTTGCATAGTTACTTGATCCAAAGGTCTCAATCCTAAAATTGATGGCATCTTGTATTTATACTTGACGGCAATTTATTTCTCAGTGGCACATAAAATAATGGAGTCTTACAATCATTAGCATCATAGATTTGACTGAGAATAGTATTAAACAAGGCATAATTATTAATGTTATGCCCATGTATCAACTGATCCTAGACTTCACTATTTGTTTTTAAAGATTTTATTTACTTATTTGAGAAAGAGCACAAGGGAGGGACAGAGGGAGAGGGAAAGGGAGAAGCAGGCTCCCTGCTAAGTAGGAAGCCCATCACGGGGCTCAATCCCAGGACCCTGAGATCACGACCTGAGCCAAAGGCAGAGGCTTAACCAACCGAGCCACCCAGGCACCCCCAGACTTCACTATTTTCATAATTATTCTATCTTCTTTTTGTTTTCAGGAAAAACACTGTAAGACAATGAAACAACAGAGTCTGACTCGGGCAGAAGTAGGTTCAGATGCTAGCTGCAGGGGCCTGGGAACTTGGTTATGTTATTCTTTGTATATAAACTGTCTATAATAGGGGCGCCTGGGTGGCTCAGTGAATTGAGCCTCTGCCTTTGGCTCGGATCATGATCTCGGGGTCCTGGGATCGAGCCCCACGTCGGGCTCTCTGCTCAGAGAGCCTGCTCCACCCCCCCACTCTCTGCCTACTTGTGATCTATCTCTCTCTCTCTCTCTCTCTCTGTCAAATAAATAAATAAATAAATTTTTTAAAAAATAAACTGTCTATACTATAAGGATTTCCTTATAGGTATATATATTATTTATCTAATGTAAGTTTCCTTATAGGACTGCTGTGACTATTGCAGAAGATGGAGAAGAACACAAGAATATGACAGGAGTTTGTTAAAAAGTGGCTATTACCACTTTTCTGCTAGTTTTTAAGTCTTAACAGCTTCTAATGCTGCCAAACTGACAGAACCTGGGGAGGAGTCTGGGATCTTGGCTAAGATGTTCCAAAATTGGTTCTATAATATATTAGCTTACTTCTAATTTCTAAGCTGTATTAGAAATGGTTAAAGTTACCAAAAAAGAGGACCCCTGGGTAAAATTGCACCATTAAAGCAAAGAAATGGCACTAGTAACTTGTAAAATATGACACTATTCTTGATTCTTTCTAAATTATATGCCACCTGGAATGCCCATTCCCCAAGATCTAGAGTGTTACTGCCAACTCGAGTAACATTTAAATCTACACCCCCCCCAACAGAAGTAAACAGTTGAATTTTTAACCTAGCACTTTAAGATATAATCAATGTATTTTCATACATAAATAACCATTAACTCAAACTTCTGGTCCAGATGAGGACACGTGGCTTTATTTGTTCGTTTACCTATGTAGTATTTCATTTCAGTGTCATGTTTGTTCATGAGCTCAAGAAGTCGCACTTCTATCTGGGCTTGATTAAGAAAAGCCTTCTTGTTCTTTATTATTTTAATGGCAACCCATTCTTGCTCCACACGATCATAAGCCTTTACAACCTGAAAGAGAAAAAAAGAGGAATAATTCTCTATTTCATTAGTGGCCAAAATTTCACATTTTACAATTCACCTTAATTGTATATTTCCCTAATTCTCACTTTTCTGACCTCCCTAAGCAGAAGAGGTCCTATTCATTTCCATTCAGTATCATTCATCTATTACTTTACAGTCAACTTTAAGTCAATCTTTTTATTATTTCTTTATTTGAGAGGTAGAGAGCATGAGCAGGATCAGTGGGAGAGGGAGAGGGAGAAGCAGACTCCCCACTGAGCAGGAAGCCCCATGCTGGGTAGATCGCAGGACCTGAGCTCACCTCAGATCACAATCTGATCTAAAGGCAGATGCTTGCTTAACCGAAATGAGCCACCCAGGCGCCCCCAAAGTCAGTCATTTCAATTAACTTTCTTTTGTATCCTTACACGGTTTCTAAATATCCACAATATCACTTTCTTTTTAACAAAAGCTAGATTAACTCTTTTCCTCCAGAAGTAAGTTATAAATCTTATCAAGTGCTTTGGTTTGGGAGAAAGAACCTGATTTAAATCTCAAGTATACATGTAAAATATTTAAAAAGTTCTAAGTCATTTGAAAAATGCAGGTAACTTCCTAACCTTAAATTAGATTTTCAGAAATTAAAACACAGGTATTTAACAAAAGACAAATCTAATACAAATTACCAGGGAAGTTCCATGATAAAAGTCAAAAGCCACAATTAGATGGTCTTGATAGTTATAAAATCAATGCCAAGAAAAATGGAGTGCTCATGAGCAAAATCACTATGTACACCTCTTGTTTTAATTTTACTTGTGGAGCATAAGTAATAACACGGAGGACATTGGGTGAAGGAGTGAAGTGAGTTGGGGGAAATCGGAGGGGGAGACAAACCATAAGAGACTGTGGACTCTGAGAAACAAACTGATTTGAAGGGGAGGGGATAGGGGGTTGGGAGAGCCTGGTGGTGGGTATTAAGGAGGGCATGTATTACATGGAGCACTGGGTGTGGTGAATAAACAATGAATCTCGGAACACTGAAAAAATAAAATTAAATTAAAAAAAAAAAGAACAAAGGAGTTTCATATTATTAACAAAGATTTACATAAAAATTAGAAAATCAATGCACAGATAAAACTATCCACAAATCAGAAACCCACTACAACTGATTAAAAGTTAATTTATAATCTATGTAGTCTGAATAGGCAATAGCTTTATCCATTTTCTAGCACATTCACAAAGTCTGGAGATGTAGGGAGAACTCCTTGTGATTCCAATGTGTAGGCTGTCCCACTGGAGAAGAGAAGTAAATGGAACGCATGTTCCAAAATTTACATCAGTCAAGGTTAGATATATTGTCAAGGATTATATATGCTTCAGTTAAAATCAAACTTGGAATGAAAAATGCAATTATTTTTGGTTTTACCCAATTCTAAAAAATACAATCTATTGTCTTTAAAATCAGAGATCACCCGGTAAACATGTGACCAAGTGGTTTTGACATTCTTCTGCTCACTGACTATACTACTGGCACGGAGAGCTGCAGCCCCACGCCCAGATCCCAGTGGTCTCCAGGACAAAGGCCACCAGCAGGGCCCAACTATTTACTGACTTAGCAAATAGTTAACTGGCTAAATGCTAAAGCAATGGTTTTTGACCCTGAATTACACGTTCAACAGGCAGTTAGAAAAATACAAATGCCCAGGATCCAGTCACAGAGACTCTGATTTAACTGGTCTGGAGCCTAGGCAACAGTCCTCTCCCCCAAACCTCCCTGGGAAATTTCAATGTGCGATCAGGACTGATAACAACCACTGGCAAAAGAAATGAAGGAGTCCCTTATATGACAAAGATCTGGCAGAGTTTAGAGAAAGTCTGACTAAGACAGTACGGAAGACATTACTTGGTGAGTGACAGGTCCAGAACCTGAACACCCTTCAGCTTAAGGGAGGCATCAGTCTGACCCAATGAGATGGGGTGTGATGTCAAAAAGGCCTCTATTTTCAAAGATCTAACTACGCTCACTTGCTCTTAGGAACTGAAGTATGAGAAAATTAAAGTGAAGAGGAGGAGAAAAACATCACTCTGAACACAAAGACTAAATATTTAGCGAAAACTTTAAAAAAAAAAAAAAAAAAGGAAAACAAAGTTTAGAGTCTGCTGTATGGCCACAATTTTCATGGTGGACAACATATTAGTTAGAAAAATGTCCTGCTGGGGGACCTGGGTGGCTCAGTCATTAAGCATCTGCCTTCGGCTCAGGTCATGATCCCAGAGTCTCGGGATTGAGCCCTGCATCGGGCTCCCTTCTTGGCAGAAGGCTGGCTTCTCCCTCTCCCACTCCCCTTGCTTGTGTTCCCTTCTTCACTGTGTTTCGCTCTGTCAAATAAATAAATAAAACCTTAAAAAGAAAGAAAAAAAATATCCTGTTGAAGGCAACTGCCTGAACAGGTGGTATAATTTTCAAGATGAAGACAGCAATCCCTCTATCTAGGGTGTGCATCGCCTTACTAAAATCTGGGCCTTAGAAATGCCTCTCCTTAAGAGACTGACAGAGAAGTAGAAGCTGCTTCTCACAAAAAAGTAGTATTTCATAAAGAGGGACTCCCAAACTACTGAGAAACCCTAACTCAAAGAAAAAGAGCTTATGAATCAAGGAAAAGTTCTCTGAGTTATGTACAATTATCGAAATTCCTTGAAATCATGGAAAGGGGGAGGAATTTTATGCAGATGTCAGGAGGGCCTTGTAAAGCCACAGTGGCATTACAGCAGTCCTTTAGCAACCTCGTGTGGATCTCCTTACAGGTTTAATAGCTGCCATCCTTGCGGGTCTACACCTGTGGCTGCTAATGACCTACCATATACTTTTTGTCCTAAGCATGATCAGACTGACACATGAAGAATTTTCCCTCACAGGTTGAGAAGAGGCATTTTTTCCTATCTCAGGGCAGGAACAGATCAGTAAGAGCATGTGTTCTGTACTTTTTTTAAAAAACCCAAAACAAACATTTTTAAAAAGTAGTTCAGGAAAAGTCATTTTAAACCGCATTCTATCCTCATTACTGAGAAGTCAGAAGTGGTGTTTGGACTACAGGTTAATAACGGACTCCCCACACCAAGTCTGCAAGGCAAAGGAGATGGGAATCAACAGTAAATCACACCTCAAACCAAACCAAACCAAACAGAGGGACTGGATGAGATAGGATCGACAAGCGAGAGTAGCTGGGGGGTCCACAGCCAGAGAAAAAGTTTTTAAAAGAGCAAGGACGAAGGTGTGATGGCTCTCAGTCTGAGCATAGCTGATACAGCAGAGAGATGTATTTAGGGTTTTGTGCTTTGTAGCGAGGCCGGGTGGGCAGGTGAGGAGGGGAGAGCTATGATCGGAGAAGCAGCCAGAAACAAAGATAAACATCAGGTCTCTTGGGGAGCCCCTTCCTCACTCTTCCTGCTCGAAGCTGCTGAATGAGCCGTTCCATCACAAACACCCCCATCACAGTACCAGCTATGCTGGTGCTGGGAGAACAGGAAGAGGAAATCCTAAAGACCATCTGCCCACTTCAAGGCCTGATAACAGAAGGTGACACAGCCCCTGGCTTTCCCAGACTCCAAAAAAATAACAGGGCACCTGCTGTGCCAACGGAACTCTTATCTTTTTAAAAAGGATTATCAGGCAGGAAGGTAATTACTTCTAGCATCCACATCGAAGAATCATCCAGACTATACGAGAGGGGCAACATCACGTATTAGTGATTACAACCCACCACTCAGTCATTAGTAAGATACGTACTAGAGAGCTGCTCTAGAAAGTAAATACGGACAAAGAAAGTCTAATGGAGTTTTAGAGCTGATGTAGTTTTACTAGCTTTAAAGAAGTATGATGATCCAAATGCTCACATATCCACTGTTTACAATATATTACAAACACTGAAAGCATACCACTGAGGGAAAGGTGTAACAACATGCTTCACTATCAAGTTCTAATTTAGGAAATTCAGCATTTTCCATTAAATTACCTGTCCAAAGGAACCTTTGCCAATCAAGGAGTCGATTTCGTAACGATCCATCCACTTCTCTCCGTTTTTTACAATATAATCATAGTTATCATCATCATAACCATCATTGTAAACCTTCCGCTCCTTCTTATGACTAGAATCGTCTCCCTGGCCCTGTTGGTGTCGTCGCTTCTTTTTTGCATAGTAAACCTGAAATGAGAGTATACAGTGTTTATAATTTAAATCTTTGGCGGTTAGCAGGAGGCATATACATATATACATACACACATATGATATGTATCAAGAACATGTATGAGACAAGTCTGCCATCAGGAGGAAAGTGATGAATTTTTATTCTTTATAACAAATACCAAAAAATGAAATAAAGAACTTTCTACAGTTGCTATTAGAATTACATGATAACACGGATATATAACCAATGAAAAATGTCTACCCTGAAATTCACTTTTCAATTATACTGTTTGTACATTTTATAAACAGATGTTAAGTGACTAGTCCAAAGTAGCCCATTCAAGAAGACTAACAGGGCCCAATTTACATTTATGTCTTAAACTAGGGTATAATTTCTATACAATGAGGGGGCACAGCTCTTAAGAGTGTAATATAAGGGATTTGGCAGGAAAAATATATAGAGATGCCAATGTAATCAGCAAACGCCAAACCAAATAAAGAGCATTTTCATCCTCCTCATGTCGGTATCTTGCATGCCCTCTGCCAGTCCATCCCAATTTTACATTTACTCTGAAGGCAAAAAGTTTTAAATATGAAAGTCAAGATACATACGAACTGAAGTTCTACTAATACAAAAGACCCTCTGAGAAGTGCCCACTTTTTTAAGTCTCTAACAAAGTAACAATTAATGAAAAAGCAGCCACTCTCTCCCCCTCCCCACACTAAAGGCCGTAAATCCTGTGACTGATCATAACTGAGTTATTTTCCTTACTAAATTGTTTCTAAGACCAGTAAGAAATAACAGGTAGACTAGGCAATAGCCCAAGTAACTGGTAACTAACTGAGGAAACTATAAATTACACTGCATAGAATAACATCAGAACAACTCTAGTTTACAAGATGGCAAAACGGTTAAAAGACTTCAGCAAAGCTACTGTTTTTGGTGAAACGCTTGTTTGACCAAAGCTTAACAGCAGCTTTGTTAACAACTTTTTTAGTTTTGTTAACAGTTAACCAGATATTAACAAACTGACATGAATAAATTGTTAGTAATTTATCAGATTTTTCAGGTAATCCAAAGCTAATTTGGCACATCTTTTCTAAATCATCGATTGTGTACAAAATCCAACTGAAAAGTGTTCCTCACTGAGTTCATTCTAATCATATCTTTCCACATTGCCACAGTAATATAACGATACTGGCATTAAATGGCATCAAAGTGCAGTAAAATTTACACATACGTAAGAACATCCTTTTAGTTAAACAGCTCTAGAGCTGCTAGAGCATAACCTTTTAGTGTGACAGGACATAGGGCTCCCATGAAGCGGAAAGGAAGCACAGGCACGTCTACTCTTCTCCAGAAAAGCTCATTTCATAATTAATTACAAAGCTAGAGCTGAGGCTAGAAGCAAATGGCAATCAAGTCAAAGGTCTAAGACACCAGAAAAAAATTTATGCAAGTGAAGAGCCAAGTTGGAATAGGAGTAATTCAAAGTGCTAAGTGGGGTTTTTTTAAATCTATTTACATTCACCAAAAAGGTTTTTAAATATCTTACAACAGAATAACACACATAAAAATTTAAAAGACAATTTAAAACCATAGAAATATATATATATATATATCAAATAAATTAGGACAAATGCCTCTTAACTGGGTATAAATAGATCTCTGAGCTTCCTGATATCCATGGCAAAAACAGAAAGAGATATATAAAATTTAAGCAAAATTCTAACATATACATAATTTTACAGTGTCCTTATTCCCTTCCTTTCTTCTTTCTTGTTTTGGAGAAGAGTTATTACAGAATTAATATCTTATCATATATTAAAAACAACTTTGAAAAAAGGGAGAAGTTATCCCCAAATATCTTAATTTTTGGCAGTCTCTGTTAATAGATTTTTCTTCTACAATGTAATTATATTATCTATAAATCTTTAACTTACCAATAATCATCAATATTACAATCACCGGGAATAAAATTTACTATGTTTAAAAGGGCCACAAAATAACGTTTCTTTCCTGCTCTATTGCAAGATATGCTGTTAAATCAATGGTCTTACCTCATTAATATGCTTATATGTTTTGATCAAGTCAACAGAAAGTTTTCTCAGAGGAGCAGTTGCTGGATCACGGAAGCTTTGGGGCATCCGCCTCTGTAACATGACAATATCAGGCATCACCTTAAATAGACAGAAAAGACTAGCACTTTAACTATACTTCACTGGTGCAAATCCCCTCTCTTCTGTAACCTGTATGTATGTATTAAAAAAAAAAAAAAAGATATCTACATTAGAACATTATACATTCTCTCTCAGTTATCTCTTTCAACATGATTCCAGTGAAGAAACCACTGGAACAAATCAATGAAATGAGAAGATAATGTGCCAGCTGCCCAAGGCTTTCGAACTTGTTCCTCAGATTAAACAGTACGATCACAGACATGGCGGGGGCCAGGAGACACACAGGATGCTGCCCAAAGAGGGCTTCTCCACCATACAAGGAATAACTTCTGAATTATTCCTAAAGTCCAACCTGCTTGACAACAGAGAAACCCAACATGCAGCTTCCTAGGACAGGATTTCAGGCCCGACTTGGCACCACGAAGCAAAGCAAGGAGGCCACGGTGCAGGGACGGAGCACGGCACTGCTCCACTCCTGAGATCAAGAGTCAGACACAACCAACTGAGCTACCCAGGAGCCCCTGCAACTTGTTTCTTTAACACAACTGAGGAAATCATGCTCTCCACGGTAACATGCCTGACCTTACCCTCCACATTCTCATTCCCCCTTAGCACCTAGCACCACCTGATATACTGTATTTACTCATTTACTGGTTTAGGCTATTCTCCTTCTCCTTCCACTACAGGAAAAACTCGGTGAGGTCAAGGATTCCTTTGTTCAGTATTGTATTCCCTTTGCCTAAAACAGTGGTGGGCACATAGATATTTAATAAATATTTGTGGAATAAACAAATGAATCCATTATACCAAAATCTCTACTTACAATTACACTAGGAGCTGACCACAGGTAAGTTCCAGAGAACACCTTAAAGCTCATGGAACTCTTTTAAAAATGAATTTCAACCACATTCCATTAACAATTCCCCCCCCCACCAATCCTAAACTGCATGTCCTTCGTCATCTAATAGGTCGTCAAGAGTTCAACCGTGAGCTTCCTGCTAGACGGGGGATGGAGCAGGGACACCCTCCATACACATACCAGGAATGCTGTGACTAGCATGTCCATGATCCTAGACTACTGTCCATACCCCACTCCTCCACCAGTAAAGAGTTCCCAACAGGCGTCAACAGATCCTCAAAACCAATTAATTCTATCAAGGTACCTATAGTCACCAACACTAGCCATCTGGGTTCCTATCCAGCTCCCACAGACACTGAAGCCAGTTAAAATCTACTGAGCCAAAAAAGCCTCTAGCAGAGCCCCTCTCCAAGGATGCTCAGGTCAATCTGAGGGGCTGAGACAGCAAATGCATCATACCAAGGCCTCACAGAAATGTTTGGAGTCTTGGGATAATTAACCAACTTAACCCACACTAACAAAAAAGAGAGTTGCGCTGTAGGGTGAAAGTGGACATAACAGGAAAGAATCTCCATCCCCTTGGTATGAAAAGTTGGGAGTGACCGTAGAGCAGTTTCCCAGGTGCACATTCTCTGAAACCAATATTAACATTAGTTTCCTCTGCCTCTATACTCAAAGTCTAAAAGGCTGTTATCCAGATGGTAAATTTACTGAATTACTATAGTAAGTTATTAATTATCTTTTCCTATGATCCTCTCCTCTTTAAGGTTCCAAATAAGGTTTAAGGGGATAAAAATTTTCAATGGGTGAAACTATTTGTCTGAAAAGAGAGCAGCAATTAGTAAGAAAACTTGAATTGCTGAATTTTTCAAATATATACTGTTGCATTTTGCTGAATATAAACAGTATGTACAGTGAGGTTCACAGGATATTTTATTCTTATACTTTTCCTTAGAGATGTAATTTAATGAATAAACAATATTGGTAATAAGCATGTCAATTATCTTTATGTGAATGAATGCTATAAGCATTTAAAATAATGGAAAAGGTTTCCCTTCACAAATTTCCTTTTTTAATTTTTAATGCAGGGAATTTATTCCAACAAGCCCCTTCTTGGGAGTGCTGGAATGCAGCCACACCCCACAATGAGGGTCTCACAGAACCCCAACCAGTGAGATATTATGTTATCACTGTAAGAAAAGTTGATGGAAGGTGTAACTGTTAGAAACAAACGAATTACTGAAGTAGTTAATAATAAAATAAGAGTAGCAGGTATTTGCAACGCACTCTGTCAGGAGCATACATATTTTTGCATCTTTCACATAATCCTCTCAACAATCTCCTGAGAATGAGTTGATTTCTTGTCACCAGCTTACAAATGGAGAACCCAAGTGTCTGATGTGAGCTGCTTGCCCAAAGTCCCGCAGCTCAGAGGGCACAGGTAAGATGGAATCCAAGACCCTGCCAAGTCCCAGGCTCTGAACCATAATACAGGACAAGAGGTCCTGGTCACATCTAGGCTTCAATTCTACTCTTTTGATCGAGTCATTTTTAGGCTACTTGTAGGACAACAAAATTGAGTTATCTTTAACAAACACCAACAAAATAAGCATATGAATGTATTAAAAATTCACTTTATTAAAAATAAGTCATATACAAAACTTCAAATGTGTTTTGAGTTTTTAACTTGCCCATCTACAATTCCACTGATATTTAAACATCTGAAAAACAGAACCAGTGACTACATCTTTCCAGGAATAATTATGCTCACTCAAAACACAAAAATCACACAATCAAGACACCAATTTTGAATATACAGACATACAAGAAACTGGATAGGAACTAATTCTGACTGAGTAACGATGGTTTTCCTGCACTCAATACGAGTCTGTGCTGTGTGCCTGGCATTTCATAAAATATCACTAAACCTCTTCTGAAGTTGGCCAACTCTGCCTATGAGGCCCAACTGATGAGCTAATTCTAAACACCTTACTTTTCTTACATACTTCTTGCAAGAGAAATTACTACCTCAGAAGAATCTGTATATATAAGCCAGATACATTCTACTCACAATCGGCCTTCATACCAGACTACATTTCATTGCTTCAAAATGGCACCTTGTATAGACCCAAGTGCCCAAACTATATGGCAAGAGCAAACTCAACTCTACACACTAAGTAACACTCCCTTCACTAACTTTCATTGCGATTTCATGTTAGGTAGCCAAATCTGTGTTTCGATACTGTGCTGCTGTACACACAATTAGGAAATAACATTTCCAAACACTCAGGTACAAACCTACACTAGACTCAAGGCTGGCCCCGAAGAATCTGAGGCTTTCTCCCTTTCCCGATACTTCTCATCAGAAAGCCAGGAGAAGGCAGAGGAACAGAGCAAGCTCCCTTCTTCCCTTCCACAGTCAGAAGAAAACCCGTGGTGTTCAGAGAACCCAGGAAGGAGCTCATCAGGCTGTTCCCATACCTCAGCCTCCCCACCTGTCCTCACAGCAAAATGGCCAGTTGATGAGCTATCCTCCTGTTGCCTCTAGTTTTTAGAGGCAACAGGAGCTATCTGGCTCCGGAACTAGAAAAACCCACATTCCCAGTGCTCACCATTCTTGGACCTTGCTGAGTGAAAACACAGATCACAGAGTGAAGAAAAGCACAGTTTGCATACCCCGCTTAAGAAAAGTTACAAGAGCTTAAACAATCTCTGTGTTTTTTTCCTGTAAGGATTCCAGAGTGTACGCTTCAGGAATTTATTTAAAACCTGTCTTTCAGCTTAATAATACCTACTCTATCCATTTTAGTTATATTCATCTCGTATTTTCATATATAATGAAGAATTAGAAGCACTATATTTTGCTTTCCTTGCTATTCTGAGAGTGACCGCTACAGCTGAAAGCCACAGGTAGCACACATCCAGAGTCCCGGGAGAGTCTACGAACTATGGAAGGTACTGTGCAAATGCCCATGGCGCAAAAGGACCGAGCATTCCTAACATCAAGCATACTTTTCTACGATTCCTTCTACTACATTTCTCCTGCTTCCTAAATTTATCTTTTGAACAAAACTGGGTTTAAAAACTTATATAAGACACAGCACTCATATAACCAGAAATAAAATGTTAAAGTTCGCTCATTTCGATTATTTGTTCAATAAATCTTTTGGGGAGAAAAACATACTGATAGGATGACTATTAAGAAACCACTGAAATCAAGTAATAAAATTATAGAAGTTTACAGCTAGACTTAAGTTTAGAGAAGCTTAGGTTTAGGGGGTTATAGTCTAAGGTCCCAATCTCACCTGCAAGGAACAGACAGAAGGGCCCATGTGACCTGACTCACCTCACACAACCACATCATGAGTCAGGACCTTGAGCCCGTGTTTTAGGACCTCCAGACCATGCCATATCAATGCAGTTTTAGTGTTTTATACTTCAGTAATAAGAAAAACCTCTTCTAATCTGCCTCATTAGGTTCAGAAATTCCTGGGGTTGGCAGAAATATCTGGCTGAATATTGTTACTTAAAAGACATTCTTTTTGTATCATATGAATCTTTAAAAATATTTTATAACTTAAAATGGAAATACTAAATGAATTTTTTATCTTAAAATCACCCACAAATAAGATGTTAGCTGTATCTAAAAACAGGTACTGCGCTAACTGAATTACCTACTACAATAATAAAACCACAAAAGTAACTGTAAAGGACTGCAATGTTTTCCAGCACTCCGCAGGCCCCAGGTGCTACAGAACAGAAGAGCGCTGTGTCTAAGAAGAAAAGAACCTGGGCTGGACCTCCAAGTCTACTGCTTGAACACTTGGAGAAGTCACAGATGGACGCTCAGTCTGTTCAGCTGTAAAATATTAAAAACAGGTACCCTGCCTAAGAGGCTGTTTTTTGAACTGAGAAAATGAATCCAAACATACTGTTTCTTTAAAGTACTGGTGACTCTTGACCAATGCGGGAGTTAGGAATACCAACCCCCACCCCTGCCCCATGCAACTGAAAATCTCTCCAAAAACTTACTTACTGATAGCCTACTGTTGACCAGAGCCTTGCCAATGAACTGCTGATTAACACATACTTTGTATTTTATATACTCTATCCTTAACCATAAAGTAAGCTAGAGAATGGAACCTATTACTAAGAAAATCCTAAGGAAGAAAAATATATTTACATTACTATACTCTATTTATAAAAAAAAAAAAAAAAAAAATCCATGTGTAAGTGGGTTTGCTCAATTCAAACCCATGTTGTTCAAGGGCCAACTGTACAATACAAATGATTCCTTGTGCTATTACTACTTTTTGGATGTCCACAGAACTTTTTTCTGGTATATACACACTTTCCAGCTTTAAACATTCAACTGCTCCAATTCTCAAACATAAACCTTCTCAATTTACTACATAAAACAAATTCTTAAGTCTTGTCATAATTCATCTTACTATTAACTGTGAATGTTATTCACATGCTACATACACTTTATAAATGTAAAGCCAGATCAAGTGCGGACCAAAATCTTAATAAATACAAGGGGTGCCCCTCATCATAATGCTACTTTACTACAGCCAACTGCCTATTAAAGCCACATGCCACTGAATTAAAAATAAAGAACATTCCCTATAAATAATCCAGCATAAAAAATACATTGAAATTTTCCAATTTTTGATCATCACTTGATATATTAAACAACCTAAAGAAAACAGTGGCAACCCCAAATCCGAAGTGCACGGAAAAAAATCCTTGGTCGGCGTTCATCATACCCTCCATCCTGGTGGAGAAAGAAATTTTACCTCAACTATAGTTAGTAAAAAAAAATTCTCCCAAACCAAAAAGCAATGCAGTGAGTGCAGTTAATTCAGGAAATATTATGAATGCACACATACACACACGCACACACGTACACATGTATGTATAGCAAGAGATTTCCACATTTATTGTTAACTATCCATTAAAAAAAAAAAAGGCTGACTCTCTAGTCTGAATATGAAAATGACCAGCAAGATTAATTTGCTTTACATTCTTTTTCATTTTAAGAAGTTTCATACATACTGTGATAAATGTGCACTAAAGTAGTTTAAACAGCATTAAAATCAGCTCTGTAAGTCTGTGATAATGGAATCTCACTTGTTTTCCTTTAACTTTATTTTTCTTACCCACCTTTTCATAAAAATAAGCTTTCAGTTTATTTTAATTAATATTTAATTATTTAAATATTATAATAAATAACTTTTCTCCTCCCTATTACAGAATGAGAGAATGTGTCTGTGGTTTATGAGTGTTTTTTAATTAAGTGGGATACATAGAAAAAAGAAAAAGCCAACAAACTTTTGAATGCATACTTATCATCCCTCATGTGGCATGTAAAACTGAAAACCATTAAATCATTTTTGTCTGTTTACTGTTGTCCCACGTTAAGGAATAAACCACCACACCAACAAATCATTTCTGCTACATCGTAAACTTACCTGGTTAGTTAGAGGTTGCTGAATCTGGTCAGAATAAGATAAGGCAGAAACCTGTTGGTCACTTATGTTTGGCTGGCGACGGTCACTGTACTGATGTGAATGGGGCATCTGTCCAGCCATCTGAAGGCCAGCAGCATGGAATGAAAATGACGGTGCAAGCCGAACAGATGAAGGTTTGCATGCTGAAGTCTCTCCTCCTACAAGAAGACAACAAGTGAAGTTGAAAGGATGTATTTCTATCCTAAGGTCTCCATCTTTTGACCTATCTGATAGTTCCTTCCATAAGGACCTTGGGATGTTTGGTAATACTAAAAACTTTTAAAACTACAAAGTGCAAACAAGAACGTGCACTTGACAAAACAGTTCTTTGTTAAATGTCATAAAATATAGTGATCCAAGTGTCTGTAAATCTGTAGTCAGAGAAAACCTTAAGGAAATCTTTTTGTAAAGCAACAAGATAACCACCCTTAATACTTATTTTCACGTATGAGCTTTTCATCACGCGAGAACTGTTCAAGTTGCACAAGTAATCTCTGATTTCTCGAGAAAGCCCTCTCGAGCGGATCAGCTCCTTAGAAACCAGTGCAAAGGACACTGCTCAGATACTGCTTTGTACCTGCAGGTGTATGCAATCCATACTCCAGCATCCCCCAAACCAAGCGAAACATCTGTCTTCATGGTGCTCACCACTAACACCGGAAATTCAAAGTTAAACAGACAACACACAGGCACAAATTCACAGGACGCTAGATTCCTCCAAACTCTTCTGACACAGTCCTAAGAGCACCCAGAGCAGGTAAGCTCACCCCAAGCGTGAATGGCCGATAATTACCCCACAGGCAGGCTGGGACCACAGCCACAATTTTCATTGTAGACACAGAAAATTAACACTTGGTCAAAGTTACGCGGTAGTCAATTAATAAAAGTTAATTCTTCCTTTAAAAAAGAAAGAAAAAAAAAAAAGAACTTTCTTCTTAAATTCAACCACACTTTTAATCACAGACTAAAGCCAAAGGCAAAGTGTCAAACCCTGGTCAACGAATTGAGGACCCAGAATTCTCGAGCTTGTCTTCCTGAATAAACCAGCTACCTCCAACCATAATTTCCACACCTAATTTCCTAAAAAATAATAGTAGTATCTACCTCAAAAGCCTGTGGTGAAGGTTAAGTGCTTTCATGTGTAGAACACTTAGAACAGCTCTGGCAAACTAACAGATGGTCCAATACCGGCTGCAGCCGCTGCAGTGCGATGGGAAGGACGACGGAGAGAGCACCCGCATCTGCGGTGCTAACAAGCTCTACCGGAATGTCACACAGACTCCCCAAACCGAAGAGGACAAAGCTCAATTCTCTCAAAATGCAAGTTCCACTTCTATTTTCTACCACAGCGAATGACACCGCCTTCCTCCCCGTCAAGCAGAATCAAGGCTCCCGGAGTCGAGTGCAAGTTCTTTTCCCCCACAGACCAACCTCACGCAAACAGCTGCCCCACCTTGCTGGTTCTGCCTCCTGCGGAACATCCAAATACAATCACTTCTCATCTCCACCAACTCAAGTCTCACTTAGAGGACTAAAAGAGATTCCTAAGAGCTCTTTTTATCTTTGCCCATTTCTGGACTCCTTCAGTAAGATACTAGAGTGACTCTTCCAAAGTGCACATCTCGGGTCCTGCCCCCCTTACTGAAACGTACCGATAACCTGCCTTGGCACTGGCTTCAGACCTTAGCTTCTGTCTCCCTCCATTACAGAGTGAGCTCCCTAACGGACCCACAGTACATGATCAGTAAGTATTTGCTGAATAAGTAAAAGGACAGTGTTACCATCAGGATAGATGGGGTAATTTTCTAAACATTTCATTCCTTATACTAAAAAAAATACAGTCAACTTAATTACATAGAATAACTGTGTTCAGTTAAAAAAACAAAACAAAACCCTGGGGGTGGGGAGACACCTGGGTGGTTCAGTGGGTTAAGTGTCTGCCTTCAGCTCACGTCATGGTATCAGGGTCCTGGGATAAGCACTGGGCTCTCTGCTCAACGGGGGAGTCTGCTTCTCTCTCTCACTCTACCTCTGTGTCTCTCATCTCTCAAATAAATAAAATCTTTTTTTTTTTTTTTTAACCTGGAAATTTTATCATAAGGATATATCGAGGACGCTCACAAAGACAGGGAAAAATGTTTATTCTGGTATTGTCTACAATAGCAAAAAAAAAAAAAAAAAAAAAGAAACCTAAATGTCAAGAGAGGAAAAACGGAGGCTTTACATTTGCATGTTAAAAATCACAAAAAAACTGGGAAGGAATATAAACATACATAAAAAAGATTGAGTTCTCGGATATATAAATAGCTCTTATAAATAAACAGTAAAAACAGTAAGGCCCTAAATGACAAATTAACCACTTTAAGGTCTTGGTTTCCCCATCCATGCAGCAGAGCTATTATTATCCTAACCTATTCCCTTAGGTATATTATGAAGTTTTTAAAAATAGGATACCACAAGTAAGTCATGAATCCTAGTACTGTAAAAAAAAAATAAATAAATAAAAATAAAAAAAATTTAGCTTCTCTATTATCAATGTCATTATTATAGACTATGTTTAAACTTACTTATAATATATAGAAATAAGTACAAAAATCATTAGTATATAGCTTAAATAATTATAATCAACCGAACCTGTGACAAGGAAAAAAAATGGCCATCACGCCAGAAATCCCCCCAACACCACTCCATGACCCGCTCAATCAATACCCAAGCCCCCCAAGTTACAATCTTGATCTCCAAACCAGATTAGTTACAACTTTACAAGTTCACTTATGTTACATTTATGAATTGTGGTTTGTTCATTATCATTACTTTATGGTATCCCATTATGTAAAGATGTTCTGATTTACTTATCTCTTTGACTTTTGATTGACATTTGGGTTATTTCCAGTTTCAGGTATTATAAATAATGCCACTTGGGGGACGGGGGCGCCTGGGTGACTTAGCTGTGAAGCATCTGCCTTCCCCACTCAGGTCATTATTTCAGGGTCCTGGGATCCAGTCCTACATTGGGCTCCCTGCTGAGCAGCAACTCTGCTTCTCCCTTTCCCTCTGCCTGCGGCTCCTGCTCCCCCTGCTGTGCTCTCTCTGTGTCAAATAAGTGAAATCTTTAAAAAAAAAAAAAAAAATGCCACTAGGAAGAGTCTTGTTGTCTTTTCGTACACACAGAGATGCTGTTCTGCTGTTTTTCCAGGTTTTAAAAATTGCTCTGTTTTTCCCCTAGCGGTTTATGAAAAATCTCCTCTGTTCCCTTCCTTCACTAACACTTGGAATCATTATTCTTTCTGATTTTCAGCCATTGCTGGAGGTGTGTAGTGGTACTCTACTAGGAGCTGAACTTGTATTTCCAGTGATTATGATCATCTTTTCATTTATTTAAGGCCAGTTAAATATCTACTTCTGTGAAATGCCCATTCAGGTTGCTTTTCCACTCTTCTACCAAGAAAGTCGTTTTCTTTTACATTTCTAAAACCTAAAACATTGAATGTTAACATATTTTGGGCATGAGCCCTTTACTGGTTGTAAGTGGTTTCCATTATTACCCTCTTAATGGTATTTTTTAATCAGCACAAGCTCTTAATTTGATCTTTTGTTTTAGAATTAATATTTTTGGTGTCCATTTAAGAAATGTTCCCTTACACCAAAGTCATCAAGAAATTCTGCAATCTTCTCAAGTTGAGTTTCACCATTCACATCTAGATGGACAATGCTCTTAGATTGGATTTCTATGCATGTGTGCCAGAGAAAGGTTGCATTCCTCCCACCAACCCCAAATGGACATTTGATTTACTCAGGACCAATTATTAAAAAGATAAACTTTCCCTGCTGCTCCACAAGGCCATCTTTATCATAAATGACATGCCCGTACGTGCTTAGATCTGGTTTTAGATTCTTTATGCTGTTCTACTGGACACAGGCCTACCTAGATTTCTTAAAACTTTGTGTAAGAACCAGTTTTACAAGTTTTAACATCCAGTAGAGAATTCTGTGCTTTCTCAAGAATAGTTTGGTTATTCTTAGCCCTTTGCATGCCCATGTATGATTTAGAATTAGCTCATCAAAATCAGAAAACAAACAAACCTATGTTGGCACTGTGGCTGAAATTGCACACTGTCCAATCAATTGATTGCAACTGATCCAATCAATTACATACATCAAACTGAACAGTGGACTGTTCAATAACAGAGTTTTTTTTACAATGATGAACTTAACAGCATTATCTAATAGGCAGCTACTAGCAGTACTGGGCATTTGAACAGTTTTATTTTTTCCCTCCTAATCCTTCTCCTTCCTTTCGCCTTATTCTACTTGCTGTTGTCCCTCCAACATAGTGATGATCAGAAGAGGCGAAACAGGTACCACTATCTTTCTACTGTCTTACTCCCAATCCCAGAAAGTAAGCTTTCAACATTTCTCCAGTACTGTGGTTGCTGCAGGTTTTTAATTGATAACCATTATCAGATGAATCAAGTTCCTTTCTAGTCCTAGTTTGCTAAAACGTTTTCCTCATAAATGGATGCTGCATTTTATTAAATGCTTTTTCTGCACCCACTGAGATGACATCAGTTTTCTGATCTACACTGTTAATGGTGAAATACACTGATTTTTGAATGTTAAACTAACCTTGCATTTCCTGGAACACAGACTGGTCATGATTATCCTTTTGTGATAGATTCACTGGCAAAACCATCTGGTCTTGGGAGTTTTCTTTGTGGGTAGTTCAAAGTTAGTAATTAATTAAAAGGTGTCTTTAATAGGACTACTCAAATTCTTTATTTCCCAGCGTGACTGTTCTGATAAGTTGTAGTTTTCTAACAGTATGTCTCCATCTACATTTGAAACACACTAGCATCAAGCTCTTCATTATACCCTCTAAGCTTTTCTATCAATGTAGGTATAATTGTAGTAATATCCCCTTCAATTCAGCTCTGGTTAATGAGGCCTTCTCCTACCTTGTGATCAGTTTAATCAATGGTTTACTAATTATTAAGTATCCTCTCTTATATAGGGTTTTCTATTTCTGCTCTCATCTTATTCTATCAGTCAGCAAGAGAGGTTTATTAAAAATATTCCGTTTAAGGGGCGCCTGGGTGGCTCAGTGGGTTAAGCCTCTGCCTTCAGCTCAGGTCATGATCCCAGGGTTCTGGGATCCCAG